AAACAGTAACTGTTGTAGAATCTAAAAACATATCTTCATATGAGAAAAACAAATTTAGAACTAATAAAAGTGATTTATTTTAGCAGGGTAATTTTGTTTTCCCTAGCAACGTTCATAGCAACGGCTAGTTAAGGTTAGAAATATAAAAAAATTAAAAAACAAAGAAAAAAACTTAAAGCAACTAGGAAAGGGTTTGATAATAAATACAATGATTAAGAGGGACAGTATGTAAAAAAGGGGGATTTTAACCTGTTTTCATAAGTTGGCATATTCAATATTTTAAATTTTATATGTATTTTTCTCTGTTTTATTCTTCTAATTTTCTGGCAAAGATTGCAGGAGCTGTAATAGTCCAATTGACTTCAAATTTTTTCCAGAGATTCATTGTTATAAGCTTTATGTTCTGAGATAAAATAAATTTAGAATATAAGTTTTTAAAAAAACAAAATTTTGGTTCTTAATATCAGAAATTCAATTTTTAATTGGGCGCTTTGAAAAATCTAACGATGCTTGAAAATAAAGAAATTTTCAACAAAAATTTTTATCTAAGGACGTTTATCTACATAAAAAAAATTAAAATACAAAAATTAGAACTTAATAAATTATACTTTTTGAGGTATCTTTGCCAAGATTTTAACCTGTTTTTGACCTAAAAATACCTATTTTTTCCTTAAATATATATATCAAGGACTACTAAACGGAAGGACGCGCAAAGTTGATTTCCTGACTCCGCTAGTGAAGGCCATTATTTTTATCAAAGTTGACGTGTTTTTTAACGTTCCTGTAACATTTTTTTAAAATTTTATGCATAATCATGGTGAACAAATGTGGCGTTGTAAATTGTAAAGGGAATTATAATAAACTTAATAAGTGTCGTATTTTTAAATTACCGAAAGACAAAATTGAAAAACAGAATTGGATTAATGTTCTTTCTTTACGTAAAAATTTTATTATTGAGCCATCTAAATTTTTTATATGTGAAAAACATTGGCCTGAAAATACATAAATGATTAAGCTGCCTGGTGGTTATACTCGACCATGTATTTTTAATGTTCCTTTTTCTTGTTTACCAACGCCAAAGCCTGTGCCTCGCCAATCTAAACCTGAGGACATGCAATTGAATTATTTCATCAAAAAAGATAGAATAAATTCGTTTTCTGATTTTTATCCTGACAATGAGTTGCACAAAAAGTATAAAAATATAGTAATATCTCGACAAGACAATAAATTCATATGCATTTTTATGTCAAAAGATTTCAAAGAGAGTTTTGTGACGATTATTGTTTATGATAAGTGTACCTTGTGTTCACCGCTAACCTTTACAGCTTTTAAATATGGAATTTCCGTTCCATTAACTAATATATTGAATCCAAAAAATGGCTTAATCTTCTATTCACAATTTTTTGAAGCAATCAATTTAGTTCATAATTATATCTTCTGCATGTTAATGATGTTATTGAAAAGGTGACAAATACTCTTTCAGAAAATGAATTTGAATTAAATGATGATAAGAAACAAAAAAAAATTGAATTTTATTACAAGACAACTCAAACTCTTGTCTAAAAAAAAGTTTCTCTATAGCTGATTATTGCTTTGCAATTGAGTCTTTCTATAACTGCAATACGATCAAATTCGTGATTTTTAAGTCCTTCCAAATAAACGAAAGCTTCAGTCTATAATTTCTGCCACTAACATTGACCATGTTTTACAAAAAACATTTGAAAACGTAAAGAATAATCAACAGAAAAATGTTATTTTGATAGTTGACGAGGTAAAAATTAGGCCAACAGTTGCTTATTCGCGTGGAGTTTTAAATGGGATGGTAAGAAATGATCCAGAATCTAAAGCAACCTCTATGCTATGTGTCATGATAAAATGCTTACTCGGTGGACCTAGTTTAATGATTTATGTTACCCCTGTTCACAAACTAACATCATTGTATCAGTTCATTGTTGTGAAAGAAGGTGCTATTATAGTTGAAAAACATGGTGCAATAGTTTTAGGATCTGTAACTGATAATCATAAAATCAATCAGCAATACTGCACAATTTTTAACAGAATAACTGACTATCAGGCCATTCATCCATTAGACAATCAGCGTATTTGGTTTCTTTTATTTGACACAGTTCATTTACTAAAATGTATTCGCAATAACTGGATTTCTGGAAAGTGCCAAAAGCCATCTCTCGATAATAAAACCATAGCTTCATTTTCAAATGTGAAAAGTCTATATCAATACGAGAAAGAGAACATTTTAAAAACAGTTCCTTTATCCTATGCTGCTGTCTATCCTTCGAGACTTCAACTACAGAATGTGCAGCATGTTTTAAGAGTGTTTAATGAGAAAGGAGTAGCTTCCCTTAAACTAAAAGGAGCTTATGAAACATCCTCTTTTATCCTGCAGATTTTAGATTGGTGGAATATTGTTAATGTTTCTGCAAAAGGGCAGGATGTTAGGTTGAGAGATCACAACTGATCTGTGCAAGATAAAAATTCAAATAATCTTCAATTGTTTTTAGACATATTTAAATGTATGGAATCAGGACATAGGCCTAAACGAGTTCAGTGCGTTACCCATGATACCAAAAAAGCCCTTGTGCAAGCTACTGAAGAATTGATAGCTCTCTGCAAACATTTGTTTTCAGTTGGTTTTGATTATGTTTTGTTTCGTGAGTTACAAAGTGATAGAATAGAAGTAAAATTTTCTGTTTAAAGACAATTAACAGGGGCAAATGCTTTTATGGCAGCTGGTGATGTTTTCTCTGCTTTTGAAAAGCGTTTAGCTAGATTTGCTGCATCATTTTTAGAATCAGTGGAAGTAGGACAACCCAATAAAAAAGGTCACATATTTGAGGGTCCAATTAGTATTGAAGATGCAACCTCAATTGAAACATGCATTTATGATGAGAGTCTTTCTGAAACTGAAGAGAGCTCTGCTGCCTATGTAGCAGGCTGGCTTGAGAAAAAATGTGAAGATGAACTAGTTTATCCAGATGATGAACCTGAACTAACAAATGAAGCTAAAGACTTTATTGAAAAAGTTTTAAGGGGCTATTTGACAGTTCCACATGAGTGTACTTATCAGCTAGTTAGAATTGGCTTATGCTTTGTGAAAAAAACAAATCACAGAGCATGTTGTAGAAAAAGACTTATAAATATTCTATCTATAATGGACACATATTATGATTTTGGTTTATCATCAAAGAGTCTTTTTAGGCGATTGGCAAATGTTCTTCTGCATGGAATTCAGAATTTGGATAAAGACCAAGCAAAAAATGCATGTCTTTATCAGACATTAATTAAGTGGCACGCCTTGCTGAGTAGTGAATCTTTCTTTTTAGATTTTTTACTTGAAAAATATTGTATTGTTTATTTCTTTACGAAGTTATATTAAGTTCATTATGTTTAAAAAAAAAAAAAGTTTTAACATTGTTTAAAAGTCTCTAGAGAATATGATGTTTATATGTTTATTTCTTTATAAATAAATTGTGTCAATCATATGTTCTTTGTTTTTTTATAGAGGTTTTTTATATCGATCTTTTAAGTTTTTAAAAATAAGTTTTGATTTTGTTATTAACAATAACGTAAAATTATTTTAATCGTATTTCAGAATTTTGATTTTATGAAACGTCGCCAATAGAGTGGCGGAAGCCAATGGTGGCCGCCTCCAGAAGAAAGTTTGGAGGCAAAGCCATTTAAAGGCCGCCTCCAATTTCTTCTGCCTCCTAACTGGCTGCGACTGTCAAATTGGAGGCGGAAATATTTGCCTCCCGCCGGCGGATGCTTACACGGTGGACCTAGTTTAATGATTTATGTTACCCCTGTTCACAAATTAACATCATTGTATCAGTTTGTTGTGAAAGAAGCTGTTGAAAAACATGGCGCAATAGTTTTAGGATCTGAAAAATAATTGCTCATTTGCTTTAAAGCAATTAAATATTAACTAAAAACAAATGTTAAATACTTGTTGTAATAAATAAACTTGTTGTAATAAATAAATAAATGTTAAATAAATTAACTCTATTAATTTTTAATAATGTTAAAAGAAGTTGTGTTTTTCCAATATTTTTACAATATATAATGACTAGAATTAATAATTTAATGTTATGGTCGAAAAACTAAAGTCTTAGCGCGACGTAAGGGCGACAAAGTATCAAACGATAAAATCAAAATCTTGCCTCCAAAAAAGAACTCCGGCTGCGGCTGCCAATAGAAAAGCGGAAGCCACAGAAGGCGGAAGAAATAATATTTTGCCTCTAAAAATTGATCGGGAGGCCGCCGTCAACAGCTTAAAAAGTCGGCCTTTTGGCAGAAAATTACTTTGCCGCCGGGCGGCATTATCAACTCTGAAACAGACTAATAAAATCCATTAAAAGTTTTCTATATTATTATTTATTCTCAACAAATCTTTTTTTATAGGATAAGTAATAATAAATAGTTATAATTATTTAAATTTTTATATTTATCTTTGTTTTTCTGTACTATAATACATCCTACATTACAGCATTTAAATGTAAACAAACGCGATATCAAATTCTGTCCATACAGCTCAAATATTAGTGCAGACCTTCCCGTATGAAACTTGCTAATTAAGAATCCAGTAAGATATTTTTTTTATCCGCAGTATTAAAAGAAAAAAAATTATTTCTGCAGGAGGCCTGTTATTCTTATAGGAATACTATAACTTCTTGGGCGTACAGTATTAGTCCTACTACATATTCTATATAAACTTTTAGATTCCTGCGGGAAAACTAAGCAGAGTTAATTAAACCAACCACATATATTCGTTTATATCTGAACATAGCAAACCGAATCAACGATATAAAAAACAAGAATAGAAAATTTGCTTGCGTTGTTTTATAAACTCTGGAATCAATTTTTTACAGTAAAGTATTTTAATGTGCAAATTAAGAAAAAAAATTTTAAAATAAAATATGACTACATTATCTTTTATTTCTGTATTTTATAAAATCAAGTCTTTCAAATAAATAAACAAAGAATTAGAAATTTTTTTTCATTTTAACAGACAAACGAATTTCACACCGAATTTTTTTTATTAAAAATAGCTGACAAGGAATGTTTGTTATTCTTCAACAAGGGTTTTTTTTTGAACGTTAACAAAACAGTCTAATTCTTTCCCGATAAGGTTACCAACATCAAGAAAAAGAAGAGTTTTATAAAGAACTTGATGCTAAACCTTTTGATAACCGCGGTTACCACGTCTTCTACCAATTAAATACGCAACAAGAACGATAACAATAAGTCCGGCTAAAGCACCGCCAACAGCAATCGGAACGACACTACTTGTTTTTTCTGGTGAAGATTTAGATGGGCAAGTGTCGGCTAAATGAAAAAAGTTAAATAACTAAATTTTAAATAAAAAAAAAATCAATAAAAAGCATCTATATAACAAAATTACGCCACTATAAGTACAAGATTACTATTATCCATTAAACTACTTACTACTATTACTAAATGATGCACTGGTTAAATATGCTTGAACACGTAATTTTGTAAAAATTACTTTAACTTGATTTTTTTCCATGTCTTCTTGGATAACCTCTAGTTTGTCGTTACATGTATACGAATTATTTATAGAAGCCATTAAAACCGGTATATTTATAGAGTTAGAAGCTGCACTTTCCATTAAAGTATTGTTATTGTCTAATCAATAAAGTTTAATAACATTAATAAAATGCAAATCTTCGGTCTGTGTGTATCAGAGACAAATTAATATAGAATATAAGTGATAATTTTTTTTTTTAATGACCTTAATCAAAAACAAAAAACTATTTTATTGACGTATATATATGCATGCACGCACACACTGATCATACCTTTCACTTGAATATTCACCAATTGCCAATGTGATTGAGTTCTATTAAAGGACATCGTAAGTGATATATCATGTGTTTTGTCAGTCAGTGTTACATTCGGTAAACCAATACATGATCCAATAACAGAATCATCTCGATTTATAAAAAAATCCTGAAAATAAAGCTCACTTTAAATTTATTAAAAAAAAAACAATTATCAGGTAAATTGAAATAATTTTAGAGGAGTGTGGGCGAGAGCAAGAGCTTCCCACAGAGGCCTGGATAATATATTGATTTTTCTAGAAATTTGCATAATATTACACACAAAAAAAACCTTGTCAGAACAAATGTTCTTTAATAAAATACTTTATTAAATTTGTTAAAACAAAAGTACTTAAATGTATTGAATATAACTTTTAAATATAAATAACCTAAAATCTTTACCACTAGTTTATTGCCACTAATAGTAAGTTCAATTTCACCTTCAAATTTAATACAAGGTGTGCCATTTTTTGGAAATTGAAATACCAACATATTTGGATCTGGTGTTGGAGGTGGTGTTACTGAACTGCTGACTACAACATTTGAAGATACAACAGAAGGTTTAATACTTGAAGAAATTACCGAAGTCACATTTGAATGCAAAGCTGAAGTAGATACAATAATTGACAAACTTTTAAATGAAGGAGTCACTGATATGCTTTGGGTGCTTGTTGGAAGAACAGAAAGTGAGCTGATAGCGATTGTTGAAGATATAACAGAAGTATCAGTCTCTGAATATGTAGCAATTAAATATATAAAAATCAAAATAATACAAATTGTAATACAGTAGAATCTTGCTAACTTGGATCCAGACTTTAATAAAGTAATAGGGATTTTTTATTTCCTTTAAATTTAGTACACTAAATTTTATACACTAGTTAAGTAGAACCATTTGCTTATTCTCTAAACTGTTTTGGTGTATTGTTTCTAGAACCATTCGCTTATTTGCTATACTGTTTGCAAAAAAAAAAAAAAAAAAAAAAACAGAAAAAAAAAACAGAAAAAAAAACCTTAACTAGCATTTTCAAGTCAAAGCTTTGTAATTTGTAAAAGAATTTTGGTTTATTAATTCTCAAGTATTTTAAAGCGTTTTGTTTAAAACAACATTAGTTTATTTTATTTTTCACATATTATTAAAAAGTTCTTCATTTAAAATATCTTTATATAATAATAAAACAAATAACCAAATTAAATTATCTACTCAGGCTTGGTCGGGAAGCAGGAGCAATCACTCTCGAGTACTGATCATGGAAATAATATTTAGTTATTTAATATTTGCAAAAAAACTCACCAGATTTTTTTACCTTTTTGAGAACATTTAAGTTAAAGTATGTCCATAAAACAAAAAAATTTATTTTACGGACATACATGGAAATATACATAAACTTAAATATTCTCAAAACATCTTGGTGCGGAAGTATAAGAATATTTGCTAACACTAAAAACCCGCCAAATCTAGGAACAAATCAATTATATTGGTTTAAAATATACGCTGACTAAGCGAAATAAATTTTAGAGTATTCTGTTGAAATGTTTAAAAATTGTATTAAGTTTTGAGATATCTTGGATAAATTGTTTTAAGAATATTTTATCAGACGAACTATTACTTTAATACTATGGCTCATTCTCCATGGCCACATCTGCAAAGCCGTAAATCTTTTAATTTGTCAAAATTTTGAAAGTTTATTATTATATAATAGATTTTATTGATATATTCTTATTTTTTATTTAAAAATGTATTTTTTATGTAAACGTAATTTTGTGTATCTGTTTTTTATTCTAATGTAATCTTTTAAAGCAATTTTTATGATTTATTTTGTAAACAAAGACTTTCAACAATAATTGCCTTTTCAATGAAATTATTAATCATCAAAGTTAATAAAACTAATTATGAAACAAACATACAAAGTAACTGGTTACTAAACATGCATACAAAGTAACTTGCAGATGAACAAGCACCTTATCTCCAATAAATTGAATCACTCTTTAATCTAGCACTGGAAATAAGACACAAGTATATAAATGAAAATTATATTATACTCTTTGATAAATAAAAGAACATTTGTTTCCTTATCAAGCAATCGCAAGATGTTACTATATAAAATGTCGCTTAATTTAATAAAATTTTTATAAAAGAGCGATGTTTCGAAAATATTTGTTGTAAATGTAATTAAATTTGCTTTAAGTTTCTTTTCCTAGTTTATTTTTTTGTAATTGTCTCTCATTGGTCCAATTAATCTTTTTTGTTATATGAAATGTTTTCAAAACGACTAAAAAATCTAGCCAGTTTTTTACAACTAAATATTATTTCTGTAGTCAATACTTAAGAGCAATCGCTCTCGCTTCCCAAACAAGCCTGTCTATTGATCAATTCATTTTGCTTTAATTTGTTTGAAGTTCAATTGAAAAATTAGAGTAAAAAATTATTGATAAAGAGCATTTTTGTAATTACCTTGCACTGCATAAGAGCAAATAAATCTTAAAATATAAAAACCTAAAAAAAAAAAGGAAATAAAGTTGCTGTGGATTGTAAGAATGTTTTCTTTTGCTTGAGTGCAGGTCAAGAAAATAATGGCTCCTTGATAAGAAATAATTTTGCTAATAATACCAGGCCTTCTCGTAAGAGGAGTGCGATCGCACGCCTTATATGACCAGGCATATAGTTCTTTGTTTTATCAACTTGACCACGGCTCTTTGCAAGTTTTGATAATTAGCATGTTTAAAAAATGCGCTAAAAAAACAAAAACAAATGCAATTTTGAATTTAATTGATTCCATAAGTACAATTAAACTCCCACAAAATTTCCTGAGTATTTTAATGCAACTTAATTAAAGGTAATCATTGAAAAAATATTCAGATTAGAGTTCAAGGCAAAATGAGTACAGAAGCTATCAAAATATAATTAAAAAACATTTTATCATGAAAATATAATTTATAATTAAGAAATTATTTACTAAAAAAAAGGAATTACAATAATCTTGAAACAATTGCATCTGTCAACTATTTTTTATCCCAGATCGTGATATATCGCTTTTTTTTTAATTTACGTTGACTTGTGTATCTTTATTTATTGACAAATATCTAATTTAAGAGATTGTCAAATAAAATTCAAAGAATGATGTCGAAAAAAATTCAAATAATTTTTATTCTAGTTAATAAGTTATTAATTATATCAAAGATGCTTAGTAAATTCATTCAATTTTTATTTTTCAAAAACCTTTTTTTTTACAGTGCGCGCAAATTAATGATAAATGCACAATAAAAAAACTGTTAAAAATGCAAAAGTTTTAACATGCAAACAAACATCATTTCATATGGAAAAAGAAGAAAATTTTTAAAAAAGCATGCTAAATTTTATTTATAATGAAAACATTTGCTTTAAACTTTTAATGTAATTGCAAAAAACATAAAAGAAACCATCGTTAAACATAATGATCGCTTTTCTCAATATGTTTGAGCATGTTTTCTCTTGATGTTTTTGCAAAAGCATTCATTTTGAGTAAAATTGTGTATACTTTTGTGAGCGCATGCAACAACCATGCTAAAACATAATTATTTTTTTCTATAGCGTATTTAGTTATTTTAAAAGTGACGCAATTGAAAAAAGTACTTATGTTTTGGCATTAAGTCTGTGAAATTAATTGCTTTTCATATTAAATATGTGTTTTTTATAATAAATAAAAAACTAATGATCCCAAATTATTTTGAAAGAATTTGCTGAAGTAATATGTTCATTTTGAAAAATCCTAATCAAACAGCAACATTTGCACAAACAAAATTAAAGAAACGCGATCTTTTCTGTCTGTCTTTTAAGAAATGCGCGCACATTTGTTGATTTGTCGCACCCTGTATCCTATTAATTTTTTAATAAAATTTTAAACTTGCACCACACATTTTATTAAATTTCCTGGCACTTTTAAACAGACTAAGTTACTTACGTTTTTAAACAATTTCTAAAAAAATAAAAAATTTTAGGGGAGGGGGGCAACCTTTCCCTCACAATGGATTCGCCTTTGTATTAGTCTAATTATTCATGGGAAGGAATGATAAAGATTATTAGAGCTGTGATAATTTTTTTTTACTTTTGCTTACAATTAAGTTTACATTAATTAATAAATGTTTTGATTTTTTTTTCTGGTTTTTCCTTTATTTATTTTATCATTCTTTGAATATTTTATTTTTTTTGGTTAAATTGAGAAATCAAACAAACTCATTTACTTTGAGGGAATTAGAAGCACTTCATGCTGTTACTGTGCAAAAACACTTAAAAAAAGGTTAGACAACTGTGCACTATTTAAATGGGTTAGAGAATACAAGAAAAAGTTTTTATAAGGTAGCATTGGTTATTGATGCCCATCCAAATACTCAAATTGATCACATTTTATTTTCTATAGAATATTTAGTACAACAAATTTAGATAGTGAAGAACATTTGATTCTTTTAAAATCTTATTTAGTCTGACATAAAAAGAATTTTGCTTAACTTAGACAATAATCTGTTTCCCTTTAGGCTCTGAGTTAACAGGATTCTACTGTACTTTCAGAACTGTATTTTAGTTTAATCTTAATGAAAGAATTCTTTTTAAAGTGACTTTGACATAAAAACTAACACAGACAAATTAAATCAACAAAAAACAATAATCCTACTATTAGGTTGTTAATGTATTTTAGTATTACCGTTTTTTTCTGCTTTTAAACTGTTTGTTATTAAAGAACCTAAATAAATAATAAATATAAATTGAGACATATGATAAAATATGCAGGTTAAAAAAAATTGTACAACCATTACTGTATTGTAAACAATGTACAACCATAACTGTATTACAAATAACAATTGAAAGCAAATATACACAAGCTATTAAAATAAATTCTTTGCAACAATCAAAAAACTTTTTTTGTTGTAGTTAAAAACAAAAAATATAGAAAAAATATACACAAGCTATTAAAATGAATTCTTTGTAACAATCAAAAAACTTTTTGTTGTTGTAGTACCAACAAAAAATAAAGAAAAAAAATTTTTTTTTGCAGGATCAAAAAAAATGTCCTGATAAAATCCCACTAGCGGTGTGTATTTATGTATGTATACAAATGTAATTGATAAATGTTTTCCCAAAGAACATCCAGCTCTATTAAAAAGTTTAAGTATTAACTTGCAAGACACTGTGTGTTAAAATTCAATTTCTAGATTTTGTACATGCAGACTATATTCTATAAACTGTATAAAGGTTTTTTAAAAAAGTACTTAATAGTTGAAAGCAATTGAAGAACAAAAGGAAGTTTTTTTTTATTGTCCAATAAAGAAAAAGAGTGAATGTTGTGGTTGTTGGTATCATTCAAAGTGTATGGAAAATGCCATGTCCATTGATTGATTCCTGACTCATACATACTACAACTTTTAAAGTGTTCTGTCTACCGTTTCCTCGTTTTTCAACTCTATTCTTTGTTTTCCAATAAATTTTCTAAACTTAATAGTGGTTGCTTGCATTGTTGTTAGGAGTAAATCAGAATAATAATAATAAAAAATTATTTTTAATCTAAAATAGATAGTTCGTCAATAGTTGTTCCTTGTTTTGTTATTTGGAATAAAACTGTTCTTTTTTAACAAAACAGTTTTTGTCATAAAAAGATACGTTAAACTTCCTGTTAAAAATTCAATTTTTAAAATTTTAAACTTTAAAGGCTGGGAGTAACCCTATGTTCCAAATTTTAACTTTCAATGTTTAGACCATTTATCTAAGGTAATAATAACATAAGGTAATAATAACATAATAGAACATATCAATGAAAGTTGCATATACCAATTTTATTCATATTATAAAAATTATGTAAATATGCATTTTTTATAACTAACATTATTTTTTTATTATTTATTTTGATTTTATAAACAATTACTTTTTTTGACAACAAAAGTCTTTTTAATAAAAACTTTATATAAGAATCATTAAAATTAATATACATAAAAAGATAAAAAATTTAGTTGATAAAAAATTAATGTATTTTAATTTTTAATCTTAAAAAAAATTACTTTATTAAGTTTTATTAACAACTACTTTAAACAATAGATTGTCTCTTTATTAAATTTTTTATCACATTGATTTATGATTAAACATTAATATATCAGGGTTCCTATTAGATAAATAAATTAAAAAGCCAGAACTTTTCCATGGCATTTGAATTATTATTTTTAGGATTATTCCAAAAAATAAAGTTATAAGTTCAATTTTTTTTTTTTAAATAAAAAGTCTTACAACTTATAACTTTTTTTGTATGTCTTTGAATAATTTTTTTTTTTAAATAATTTTTAAAAAGTCCTGGATTATTTACAAGTATATACTGTCATCCGGGGTTACTCCAATTTTCAAAGGATATATTAACTTGTTTCTTTGAAATCAATACAAAAACACTTAATTTATTTAATGATAAAACAAAATAACGCAAAATGTCAACTAATAGGTAAATAAAAGAACAAGATAAATAAAAATTATAGATCAAAAAGCTTGTCATTTACGAAACTTCTTATGCTTAGGAATTTCGATAATTCTAAAAATTCAAAATAAAAAAAAATAATGATAAAAAACTTATTGGCTAGTATATCAGTCTCTTCAAATAAAGACATCATTTCACTTTGTTTGATTCTACACTTTGCTTTAACTGCTTTTAACATGTTGCAGCATTTTTTTAATGAAAATCAGGGGATTCTTTAAAGGAAGACAAATAATCTTTAGCAAGAGGTTATGCAATAAGAGACAATAATATTTTTGCTAGTTTGTCAAACAACCATACTTAACAAATATAAGAAAAATTATGCAAAAAAAAGGAACTTGAAAAAAAAAGATATTTGAAACAAGTAATAATGATATATATATATATATATATATATATATATATATATATATATATATATATATATATATATATATATATATATATATATATATATATATATATATATTGTAAATAAAACATAAAAAATACTTACAGACTAAAGTTGTATAAACAATAAAGAAAGAATTCATTTTTATTTTATAAAATAGTAAAAATTCAATCCTCTGAATTAAACGATAAAACAGATTACACCCAACGCACTGACATGTAGTAATGATTTTTAATTTATCAATAGTGATAAAAAAAACGAAATCACATGACTTCACGTAGTTTAATAATGAGTCACATGACGTTTGTCGATTGGTTAAAAATTTATAAAGATACGTAATGGTCACGAGAAATAATTTTATAACACTATAACATAGATAGAAACTAATAAGTTTGTATTTACACGTAATACAAACAATTTGGGAGAAAAAATCAAGGCAGTGTTTAATAAGCTTTATTTAACATTTTTAGGATTTTTCTTTATTAAAAAATGTTAATTCTTTAAATAAATTAAATATCATACAAATAAAAAAAAATCTCAACTCAAAAGTTAATTTCCTTTTTTTTTTTAATTTAATTTTTCATCAAAAAAAAGAAATTCATTAATTACGTAAATTAAAAATGCTAACTAATCACACTTAATCACACTTAATTTACACATAAACAACCCATTCTATTTTCAAATTCAACATTCAGCAATCCGCAAATTTGGCTATGCATTTAAACGCATTTCCATGAAAAATTATCATCCATCAATTTATCGACGCAAACAAACCTGATGCCAACTTACCCTTACGTGATTTAAAAAAATATGTAATCAATACTTTGCACAGTGGTTAAACGGAAAATAAGTATAATAGCATATTTTGAAATTAAAATTACACTTGGTTTTCAAAAACTATAATGGCTCACAGATTTAAATAAAAAACTAAAGCTTTTTCTTTATGTTTGAAAAGTTATGGCAATCCAAAATTAAACTATTAAGAAGGGGAAAAAAACGCGTTAAAACAAATAGAGTTTTTGAGCATTCTCGCAAAAAAAAAATTTCAAACAAATGATATTCTAAAAAAGTAAGAAAACAGTTGACAGAAGACTTAAAAAGCTGTGGGTGTATAAGTCGAAAAAACATAAAGAAGTTCCAAACATTGATGTTCAAAGAAAAAACCTGATGAATAAATTTTTTTTAGAGTACGAAAGAACATATGTAGCAAAAGGATTTTGGTAAATGACGAGTCAAGCGAGAATGAGTTTTAGTTAATGGATCTAGAGACAGTTTTGTTAGTAGATCCAGTTTGGGTAAAATATTGGCATCCAAGTAGTGCAATCCATAATCAGGAAAAAGAAACAATATCATGCATGTACGATGCATTCATATCATTGACTTTGAAAAAAACAATTTAATGAAACAAACTTAGTCAATAGTCTATAATTATCTTTCTAAGCTTTTAAATAAGGAGGAGTGTAAGGCGTTCTATGAAAGAGATTGCATGATTTTTTTTAACTTTTTTTTTTTAGTTTCCTTATAAATAATATAATCGAATAAAATAATATAATCTTTTGTTACTCTAAATTTCATGTAGTTTAGTTTCAAAGCAGGACCTTCTCAAAGGGAGGGGGTGTCCTACCTCTCCAAGGCTATTATATAAGCATTTGAGTTGGCACATGGAGCAAAATTCCAAATATTGAGAACCTTTTTTTTTATGGTGTTTCTAGTTGGCAAAAAATACATACACCCCCACCCAACTCCATGTAAGACCTCTTCGGGACGGCTCTGTTTTAAAGTTTTTTATAGTAAATAATACAGAAAAATATTTTAGACTAATATTTTTATTCCTGTTGATCAATAAATAAGTTTAAAACAAGTTTGAAAATTACAAGGCATTTATATAGGCGAGTATATTTCATAGCTTTCTACTATAAAAAATCTTGATACTGCACAAAACATCACAAAAGTTAAAGACTAATTATACCTTTGATATTTATACTTTTGATTTTTATATATTTTAGGTCTAACTTGTTAGGCCTAAAATGTATAAAATGGAAATGTTGTTATTAATGGTTGTTGTTTGATAGTCACAAACACTAATAATGACAAAGACAAAAAATAATTTTTCTATATTTTAAATTTTCAGAAGAACATTTATATGATATTGGCAGTGCCGAATCAAGGGGGAGCTATAGCCCCCGGTTCCGCAAAGGAGCCCCCAAAATTTTTAGAGGACCTTTTTTTTTTTTTTTTTAAGTCATTTTTAGGCTCTGGTCCATAAAAAGGCCTCCAAAAACAAAAATAGCCCCGGGCCCCAAGAATCTTAATCCGCCACTAGATATTGAGTTTAATTTGCCGTTGTTTTCTGTATTTAGTTTTGAAAATTTAGGTTAGTTAAAACCATTAAGTTGGCCAATTAAGTTGATATACTACTGTATAGCCTGCAGTACTTAGAATAATAACGTTTGATTATAAAAATTAGTATACTTAGTATAGTATATTTGAGCGATAGTTTGACTTTCAAAGAGCTATGCAGCATCTTAACGGCACCTATCAATTAATAAAGTATTTTTTTTTTTTGTTAGCTCAACAAATTCATGCAACTTTCTTTAAACTTTGTGTAAGCTAATTTATAAACCCATCTTATTTGAAATATTTGCTGAAAAAACCGCAAACCCAAAGTGTCTAAAGTTAAAAGATGAATATGTTAATACAGTATTGTAAATCAGCTCTCAGTTAGTCAACTTTAGTGCCCTATATTAATGCTTCAAGTTCTCTAATATGGTATTTGCTAGCTAAAATTTTTTTTAAAAACTCCATATAATATAAAACTCCATTTAAAAACTCCATATAATAACTCCGTATAAAAAATCCATATAACTAAAGTTATTTAAATAAAAATTAAACAAAAAAGTTTATAACAATATATATATATATATATATATATATATATATATATATATATATATATATATATATATATATATATTATTATTATTATTATTATTATTATTATTATAAACTTTTTTGTTAATATTTTTATAATACACACACTCACACACACACGCATACACACTTACACACACACACACATGCATATAAAATATTAGTTTTAAATTAAACTAATCTATTCTAAAGGCTTCACTCGCTTATAATATTTCCCAAAAATGTATGCTATGAATTGAAAGAAAATTTTGAAATTACCGATTTTTTAATAATAACATTTTTTATCTATGTTATTTTAAAAAGTGATTTTTTTGAAAAAAAATTTTAAATTTTTTTATATCATTTCAATTTTTCTGAAACCAAAAATAATATGCATTTAGAGACATTTTTTTCTTCTATAAAATGAAATTAAACGTTGTTGTTACGCAAACAATTCTCTTTGGACAATAATTTCTAACAATCGCTCAAGGTAACGGTTAGCGATTGCGGAATATTAATTCCTTTCGGAGAATTGCCCGGAAAAATGATTGCTAAACTATTCCCTAAGGGACTGATTCCGCACGAGGAGTTACCATTTTAAAGCTGTAGCGCTAAACTAGAGATTAAAGCTACCACCATCAGCGAGAAGCAGCAGCTACTTAAACCTTTTTTTTTACAGCCACTACTTTGCGTTATTAGTAACTACTGAGCCGCCGATCAAACAAAGTAATCAGCCGCAGCCGACTTCAAAGTTGCTCTTGTTAGCTGAAAAAAAAAAAAGAGTTAAGTAAACGAAAATTCTAATGTATGAATTAACAGAAACATTAACTTTTTTGTAGCTTTTTCTCATGCAGAAACAAGTCCTTAAATTTGCTTAATAAATACTTGCAGAGAGGGAGAGAAATAGTTGCCAAGTGTTCCTCCTTATAAGATGTAATCAAGTCCGAATATATTTCATGCTTTATAAAGCAAATAAAATCTAGATTTAAAAGAATTAAATTTTGATACTTTTTTAGAATAACTTATAAATTTAAACATAAAAAGGTTTTTATTACTTAGTTATGGATTTCAAAGAGCATGGTAGTTTCCATAACAGTTCTTTAAAATATTTGATCATTAAACTATATTGACTTTTTATTGACTCATTTTTTCCAATAAACTAATTGGAAAAAATGAGTCAATACAATTCTTAGGAATTCTTATTGATGAAATTTATCATGACTTCCTCACATAAATTATATCCAATCAAAAATTAGTAAAACAATCACAAAGTCTGAAACTTGTATATTTTGGCCTAATACATTGTTTTATTTACTATTCTAATTACATGGGCTAGTACTCAACCAACAAATCTTGAAAAAAACATTTTTTCTACAAAAACATGCATGCAGACTAATATATAAGAAAAAAAAATACGAACATGCAAAACCACTAATGAAAGACATGCAAATGATGAGTATATATGAAATTAATATTTACCAACACTTAACTTCTATGTATAAATATAATAACAGCCTGATTCCGAAGACCTTTAATTATAAATTTACGAAAAATGTTAACAATACCCAGCCAACATTGACAGACGGGTACCGTATGGTATTTGTCTGGGCTTACGGGAACGGGATTTTAAGTGTTTTGGTTTCCAGACGGGTCCCATATAGTAATAAAATCAAGCATACTTCCTCGTTTAAGTTTTATCTGGTTTTTATCAGGGCCTAAGAATCTGGGGATATGACGGGTTTCCCATAAGGTTCCCAAAAGGTTTATACTGATAATTAAAAAAATCATAACAAAACTTACTCAATGGTTGCCATTTATAATTCGTATAGTGCGCGAAATAAGATTAAAAATTTAACTTTTTTGCATTATACCATGTATAAATTGTATTTACATTGTAATTAAAGAGAAATTTTTTTTTTGATGTATTTTGTCACTGTGAAACTCCATTAAAAAGACGTTGTTTTAAAATTTCATTTATTTATTACCATTATAAAAGAACTTTTTTATATTTTTTTTAAAAATAAATTTACAAAGTTTCACATATTTGTTAAACATATGTTCCAGAAACTATTAAACATTCCATTGAGACACTGTTTGCATTTTTAAAATGATCAAAATATAAAGTTTTGTTTCTGCTAGTGATTGTAATAAATGGTTTGAGTTTAATCAAAATATTGGTTGAGTCAGAAACATTTAAAAAGAGCAAACAGGTGAATGTAATGTAATGGATAGGTTATATTTATGGAATTAAAAGCTTTTAAATCGTTATTACAGATCCACTCTTTTCCATTGATTTTTCTATATTTTATGCAAGCAAAATGACTGATATTAACAAAGTTTACCTACCGTCAGATATAAATAAAAATATAATTAATTGTTTAAATGCAAAAAATGGCTTTATTGTTATGCATCAACCTCATTTTTTAATCATTGATATTTTTTAATTTTGATATATATTTTGATAAGTTGTACACTTGCAATATTAACAATAATTTCATAATATACATAATAATAACTTATACTTACAATACCTATAGTATAGGTATTGTAACTATAAGTTCATATCAATAAAAATTTTATCAGTATTATAAACATAAGTGTTATATTACAAGTATTTACAAGTACAGGCTATACTTGTACACTCTAAAAACAGTCCATTAAAAAAAGTAACGGATTGCGCTTTTTCGTTAAATTAACAGATTAATTCGTTACCAAAAATCAGAAAATTAACGGAGTAAAATTAACTAGTTACGAATTCTTTGAAATTTCGTTAATTCAACGGATTAAATATTCTAAATGTCAAAAAAAAAAATTTTTTAGTATATTATAGCTTTTTATTTTAAAAATTATAAAGTTTTGAATGCGTTTTTCTCACATTTACATTTACATCGTAGATAATAGTTGGTTGCAGTAAGTGTAATATGCCATTTTTTAAAAAGCTTTACATTTAGTAGACAAAGCAAATGGATAAATATAATTTAAATTACGCTCTGTTATTTGTAATTTCGAACGATATTTAATTTATTTTAAATTTTTTATATAAAGCTTTATATAGAAAATTTAACAATAAGGTTTATTTTATTTTAAATTAAAGCCATTAGTACTAAATAATATATAATAACATATATGGTAAGTTAATACATATCATATATGGTAAGTTACTACATGTCTAAATCTAGAAAATTATTCAAGAATATATGCAATCCATATAGTCTATAGTATAGAAATAAAAGTTCAACTAAGCCTTTACTAGTAGTAAAGGGTTAGTTGAACAATTATTTCTATAATATAGACTAAATGGATTATTTATAGTCTTTTTTAACTTTATATTTTAGACATATGACATGTAGTAACATACCATATTAGTTTAAATCAGTTGTAAAATTAAAAATGTTAACATCTTTGATAGGTATATTTATTTAGGTTAGTTACAGCTTAGTTTACATGGCTATTTAATATGCTTTTATAAATTGCATTTTTTGGTGTGTTTATATTATTTCGTTAATTATAAATACAGTGAAAATTCACTGTACCTAAGGATGCGTTTTTTGATAGGTACAGTGAAAATCTATTTTTAGAATATTTTTAAAATTTACTTTCATTTTCCAAAATGCGCATGCTTTAAAACAACGAGTATATTTTCGAAGAGAGTTCTTTAACAAAATTTAGTAGTTAGAAGATTTTCAATAAGATTCTTAAAGATTAAAAAATGGAGGACATTTTCATGAAGAATTTTAGAGATTTTGATGAAGCAGAAAAGTCTGTTATTGAATATTGTAGAATGAATTTTCACCCCGTCAAAATCGACTCAAAAGAAAAAGTTGAACATTATAATAAAAAAGTAAAGGAAGGTTCCCAGATATGTTGTATTCCTCTTAACGCTATATATGGTTGTAGGTGAGCCCTATATAATAATAATAGTAAATATTGATAGTATTGGTAATACCAGTAATAATAAGGTAAGCTGTGACAATTGCTGAAATATAGAGAAGTAAATTAATAAAAAAAAGAAATAATACAAAATTATTGCTCGAATAACGAACGAGCAGATGTATATTTTTATGTGTTTTTACATTTTCTTGTTGTTTTTATGCTTTTTTATTGGTACTACTATTTGTTGTTTATTTTATTACATTAAATGTTTTGTTTATTATGTTGTTTTTTGTTGTTGTTATAAGTTCTTTTGTTTCATAACGTTTTTGTGTGTGTTTTTTTTGTTTTATTTTTATCAGTTTTTATTTTATTTATTTGTTTATTATTTTTGCAGTAATTTTATTATTATATGGTTATTATATTACAACAATTATGATTGTTATATTAACTAAGTCTTTAGAATTTTTAAACAATAGTTTTTTTTATATCATTGTTAGTTGTTACGTTTTGCTGTTTATACTGTTTTTAACTGTAACTGTTTATGTATAAATGATTGTTGTGTGGCATTTAGTAATGATTTATTTAAATTATTTAAATTTATTTTTTGTTTATATGACTATTATTCTTGCTAATAAATATTTATTAAATATTGCTATTATGTATGTGTTGTATTTATTACTATCATATGTATGGAATGTAGTTATAATTATTTGGTGTTACATTACTCTTATATAATGAATGTCTTAAACTATTTACTATTTATAATATTATTATTGTTATTATTATTTTCATTTTTATTTGTTATTACCATTAATATCTGGTATTTACTTTGGATTAGTTCATTACTATTTGTAAATGACCTTGAGTTGTAACAACTTTTGTATTCTAAAATATAAATTGATTGATATTGATTGATATATTGATTGACTGATTGTGTTTGATTAAGACAATTTGTCCTGATTAAGACATTAGACTCAAAATTCAAAACAATCAAAATATTAAAATTATTGAAATATGAAACTGTTTAGATTTTTTTATATATATTACCATATGCTGTGAAACGTGAATAATTTTTTTTTCTAAAAAAGTTAAATTTTTGCGGGGAAAATGGCCTTATAAGATTGGAAAAAGATGTTAAAGTATAAAATATAATGTTAAATTATTTAAATAACAAGGACATTCATTGGCATTTTTTTACTAGAAAATTTCAGACTTTATTTTTATGTCTTTATAAATCAGTTAAAATGACTATAATTAAAAGTGTATCTTAATAATGATGTTGTTATTTCACTTGGCGGTTGAATTGTAAGTGATTTCAGACTATTCAACTTTGTAAGTATGTTTTTATGAGTTTATCTTTTACGAGTTTTATGAGTTTACTATGTAATTATGTTTTTATGAGTTTTTCGTGGTTTAAAAACTGTATACAAAGAGTTCTTGTTTTTATTTGCAATCATATAAATGCCAATTCTAATAATTATATTAAATTAACTATGACTACTTCAAAAAACACAAGACTCCCTATGAAAACAAAGTTATCAACATATTTAGGCAGAAGTAAGGATCTTATTCTGTCAGAAGTGCCAACTTTAAGAGATATTTTGAGAAAAGGTCTGCTTATCCAAGAAGCTCTACTTCGAGAAGATGTTAACAGGTAATAATCAAGAAACTCAAAATTTATGAAACAAATTATACATTCTGCATTATATTATATATTTTTGTCTTTAGAAGGAATATTTGATTGAGAGACTTTTCTCGACTACTAGCTGATATCGTTTTTCAGCAGTAGATAAAAGCAAATGCTCTTTTTAAACCTCCAGTGGTTATTGGAAAGAACTTTGATGGAAAAAATTGAGTTTTCCTGGAACAAGATCAAAGATATAGCACATGGGAAAGCTTCTCAGACACACGTGTCTTTTTGGGAATCAAAACTGGATGAATTTCTAGATATAACATGTGCAAGTGTGAAATTATGTTATGTAACGAGTTGTTTTTGAAAACTTATTCTTGCATCAAACAAGTACATATTAAATGAACTTGTGTAAAAGAGAAAAAAATTCCAAAGGTTGAACTTCTATGGCTTAATGCCCAAAGGAAAAAAAGAGGATCTGTTTCAAAATACCAGATGGGTTTCAATGATATTAAAGAGACCGCGAAACAGTTTTCGCGAGAGGAGAAAAAAATGAAGAGAAAGTCTAGAGTAGAGAAAAAATTAGAAATGGAAAAAAAAATTTAAGGTAGAAAATGACAACGTTGTTGAATGTTTAATTGAGGATTATTCAGATTTAAAAAAGAAAAAGATTTCAGAAGATCCGCTTCAAAACAAGATTTGGAAAAAAAATGTCAATAAGTCATATTGCAGAAGCTTCAATAAGATATGATATTTCACCAGTAGCAACATCAGCTATTATTACATCCTTTCTTCTAGACCTTATTGAAGCAAAGTATTTGATGCCTGATATGTCTTATTTACCTGTTGATCCTATGAAAGTAAGAAATAATGAAGAGAGTAATAATGTATGAAGAAAAGTTAATCGACAAAGAACCTATTAGAGGTTTGTTTATTGATGGCAGGAAGGACTCAACTTTTATTTTGGAACAGAATCCTCTAACGTGAAATTTATCCTCTAATGTGAAATTTATTTAGAAATCCTCTAAGTAAATTTCACATTAGGACTATAAAAGAAGAACATATAACTGTGACGTGTGAGCCTGATGGAAGATACCTCACTCATTACACACCACCTAAAGCTATACCGCCAAGCAAAACCAGCTCAGAATCCCTTATATTAACTCTTTTGTCAAGTTCAGATGAAGAATTGAGGAAGCTTACCATTAAAACAATTAAAGATATAAGGAAAACCTCGCAGTTCGGAGACACAGCAGTAAGGTCAAGAAAAAAGGTTTTTCTCAATACAGAAGCTTTGTCTATCAAAGAGCTAATAGATTGGGAGAAGGAAAAAATATCAGAACCAGTGTTTATGTGCCAAATCTCTACATACGATCTTGGCAAATAGCTGGTCACTTGCTTTGAAGCTCTGTACTTTCCTCTTCACACGCAATCTTGTGAAAGGGCAGTAAAAGAAGTTACAGAAGCAGCACTTTCGGTTTGTGGTTTTGAAAAAAGAGACGGTTTTGTGAGAGCACGAATGAATAACATAAAAACTTTGCCCAAGCTTTAATCAAAAAAAAATTTTAGTAACCTTTTCAAATCAAAATCATAAACCAAAACATTTTTATGACAATATTATAACTTAAATTTGTTTTTTATTAAATATTGTAAAGCTAAACGATGTTGTTAAGTTGAACTATAAAAACTTCATTCCAACAAATAAAGTCTGAAAATTTATTATGAAAAAAATTCCAATTTTTATATATTTTTTCAATCTTATAAGGCCTTTTTCCCTGCGAAAATTTATTTTTTTTTGGAAAAAAAAATTATTTACATTTCACAGCATATAATAATATATAAAAAAAATCTAAATAGTTTCATATTTCAATAATTTTAAAATTTTGACCCCTCTTGCATTTATGCATAAATGAACAGTTTTACCTTTTCGAAAACTGCCATCCCGTCTAGGTGAAAAAAATTTTATTCAAATTTTTATTCAAATTTTTTTATTTTGGAAGTTCATTTTTACATATAGTGGCACCATTAAAATCATCCGCCGAATTCAAAATCAAAAATTTGAAAAGTATGATGCCCAGGCCCCACAAATTAGGGGCCCCCAAATATTTTAGAGGAGCTTTTTTTATTTTTTTATTTTTAGGCTTTTCCACATAAAACAGGCCTCCAAAAAAACAAAACACCCGGGCCGTATGATGTCTGAATCCGTCGCTGGTGGCCAGTGATGCGGTTTTACCAAAATACAACTATCTTACCTAAATAATATTTTGAAAACACTCTAAAACTCTATTAAAAAAATAAAATAACATCTTTCAAATCTATATACATTAAAAACTTAACAGAATTTATTTCTTTGTTTTTAACACGTAAGCCACTTTTAACCCAGGTAGCAACTGTCTATGTTGAGAACTAATATACCATCTCTTGCGCCTGGCCTATCTATGGTCATGGATGCAAATGTCACTTGTTTTACAGCATGCTCTGTACTTTGGGTAAAAATTTTAACTGAAGGAGTTATTAAAGGTGTCAATCTTAGCAATTACAAGTTACCTTTTGTGAGAAAACAAGTTAAAACAGGTTCTTGTACTACAGTATTTTTATGTTTATCTCTTGAAAAGTCTCGCTGCAAAATTCTTTAGGTATTTTTCTTGGTCTGATTCTGGTATCTCCAACAATATCGTTGCCTTTTTGTATCAAAATATGGTAAACTGCAAAGTTTACCATATTTTGTTCTTATTTTGTTCATATTTTTTGTTCTGCATTATTACTAGATAATGAAGACATTCATATACTTTGCATACCAAGCTCCTAGCTGGGCATAGGGTGTCATTCTTTCTTTTACCCTATCAGGTTGATTTCTGAAAATTCTCAATTGAAACAGAATGTGGAAGCATCTTTAAATTTGTTTTTTATTATGTTAAAAAAAGTTTAAAGTAATTTGTAAACAGAATAAGATAAGTAGCTCTAGATTTTTTAAGTTTTACATAGCTTATAATATTGTTTTTGATGCGTTGACATCTCTTTTAATATTGTTTCTGAAATGTTAACAAAGCTCTCTCCATCTGGGCAAGTTTTAAATTGAAGATTATACTCCATTTTATAAATATCAGGATATTTTCCTGTAGGATTTACAAATCCAGTACTAAATGATGTTGGTCCATTAATTCCTTTTATTAGGTGACACGAAAATAACTTGTTTAATCTATAAGTGTTACACATCATTTAGTAAGATTATATTTTTGCTAAGAAAAACAAACAACTTAAGGAAGCTTTGTAGCTGGTTTGTTCGAATGAATATGTGCATTCAGATAGATATCAAACACAAAGTTCTATAGCCACAGTAATGTGATTCTCTTGATAATAATAGAATGTAACTGTCCCTTCAAATTATTAGCATGTATTATCTGCATCTCAGACTTTCAACCTGTCTTATATCTTTGACTTTATATCATGAGCTCCATAGTTAAAATTCGTTTAGTAAAAATACAGCTGCAATTTATGTGTGCTATAATCGTACTATTTTTTGGGGATACCCAAACAGATTATGCTCATAAAAATATTGTATGAGGACTTGTTATGAGGTCTATTAGTTTAAAACTCTGGTATTAGTTCTTTTACCTTAGCTTCAGTTCTTCTTCATGCGATGTTTTAAATTGTTTTTCCCAAAAAGTTTTTATTCTATAATAAAGTGATTTCTCCCCAAAAATAACTGGTTGTTGAAACCTAACATTTTCATTTCTCCATTGAGCAAGAACAAATGAAATTAGATTGATTTTTGTTAGAACATTTATTTTGGTATAGACTGCATGTTGTGCTTTTTTGCTCTTGTTGTGAAATTATATAATATTTACTCTGTTTGCAAGCAACTAATTAGGAATAAAATCCTTTCCAAGTCCACTAAATCTAGCAATTTCTAGTGAAGGATAAATATAAAGCTTTCAACATTAATGAATAATTCAATTAAATAACTAATTGTGAATATAATAATAGTATCTAAATCACATTTTTATACGGCAGAGAGACAAGTCAAAGTCTCTTTTAAAATTAATTTGCCACTGCGCTTATAATGAGTCTAAACAAAAACGGATTAAATCTACTTTAATAGAAATTAATTTTATTTCATTTTAATAATGTCTAAATGTGAAAATTTGGGTATCAAGACATTTTCTAATCAAATAGTAGTCAATAGCAAACCTACCTTGAAATTTAATTTTACATAAGAGTAAACCTTTTCTTAAGCTTGATTTTTGCCTTTCTCAATCTCTAACACAAATAGTCAACTTTCCGGATAATCAGAATCATTTATCTTCTCTACTTGACTTATGTCTTGTTTCTGATCCTTGTCAATGCTCAGTTTCTCCACATTCACACTTAGGTTCTTCTGATAATGGTTTGATCTCTTTAAAGCTGTTATTTTATAAACCATTGTAACATGGTTTTGTCTAACGCCAAAACTCACTATTCCCAGGTCACAAAATATAGTATTTTTTCTCAGAAATTAGGCTGTCAAGACTTCTATAATAGGGGCAAATCTGTTATTCCACCTTTCTTGCACAGTTCAGATTTTGTTACTTCACTTAAAGACAAAGCTGAATTATTCGCTAAGAACTTTTTATTTATCTCATTTCTTGATTCGACCAATCACATTCTACCTAATATAACCATCAAACAGGTTAATCCATCGCTTGACATTCTTATCACCCCAGCTTCTGTATCAAAAGTGATTTCTTGCTTAAACTTCTTCAGCCTGTGGTCCAGATGACATACCTGTCATAGTCTTGCAGAAGTGTTGTTCGGAGCTGTCGTCTATACTTTCAAAACTATTTAACAAATGTTTATAGAAGTCATTTTTTGCCGCCCTGCTGGAAAGCTGTGTCTGTGTTTCCTATTTTTTTAAATTTTAGATAGCGATCCGACTTGTCTATCTATCATCCCATCAGTCTTCTTACTAGCATAAGCAAGGTTTTTGAGTCTTTAATTAACACACAATTAATCTCTCATCTTGAATCTAATAATTTACTTTCTGATCTGAAATATGGATTTCGATCTTCTCATTCTACTGCTTAATTATTAACGATAATAACTGATAGGTTTGATCGTGTGTTCGATAATTGTGGAGAGGCTAAGGCCATTGCTCTTGACATTTCTAAAGCCTTTGATAAAGTTTGGCATTCGGGTCTTTTCCTTAAGCTTTTGTCTTACAGTTTATCAGGTAATGTCTTAAAGATTATTGAATTCTTCCTTACTAATCGTATTATAAAAGTTATACTTTGTGGACAGCATTCTTCTCATTTCCGGTAACTTCAGGGATTCCTCAAGGTTCCATCCTTGGTCCTATACTTTTTCTAATATACATTAATGATCTCCCTGAAACTCCCACATCTTAGGTGGCATTGTTGGCTGATGACACTAATATTTATTCTTGTCTTGATAAAAACCAACACTCTCTGATTGCTTGGAGAGGTATCCAAGCTTAAAATAGATCTGCTACAGCAGATCTATTTTAAGCTACTTCTGCTACAGCATGGGGTTCTCAGTGGCTGGTGAACTTGAACTCAGATAAAACTAAATATTTTTCAGCCAATTGTTATCGCAATAACTTTTATCTTCCTAAATTTATGAACGGTAATATAATTGATGAGTCATCTTCTTATCATCTTTTAGGATTAACTATTACTTCTGATCTTATATCAAATTGATATCAAAATTAGCATCTTCTAACCTTGCATCTCTTTATTTTGTTGCCACTTTTAGACTCCTATTTCCATTCTTTATCTCTATTAATAATTTATCCGTCCTTCTACGGAATACTGTTGAAATATCTGGGAAGGATCTTCCGAAGATGCTCTTTCTCTTTTAGACAAGGTGCAAAACTTAGTTGGATCTGCTCTTGCAGCCAACCTCCAACCATTATCATATGATGTTGCTTCAATCATATTGTGGTGATGTTGCTTCTCTTAATTTCTTCTACAAGTACTAAAATGAGCTCTGCTCTAAAGAGCTAGTGTCTCTTACGCCATCTGTTAAAATTCATTGTCGTGTTATTAGTCATTCAATTAAGTCTCATCCTTTTATTTTTTCCTAAGTGTTTCAAAGATTCTTATTTATCTACTTTTTTTCTTCGAGTATCAGTTTTACATTTAATTCACTTCCTTTATCTTGTTTTCCTGATTCTTATAACTTTCAACTTTTCTTTTTTTTTTTGTCTGTTAATCGTTATCTTGCTCTATAATCTTTATCTTTTTTTTTCCCAGTAATTTCTAACATAAATAGTGCTTCCTTGTTGCAAGTGAAGAAAAAAAAAAATTAATAATTTGCGATATTTTAAAAATAAAAATATTAAAAATAAAATGTTACTTAAATATTAAAATTTACAGATTTTTATTTTTACAGGTGGATATGCAAACATTATGGAGAAGTAATGCCCAGTGTCTTAAAGAGAGGCAAAGGGTTACGAGAAAATAGCGTGCTAGCAAGTGGTTGTAAGATGGCTATTTATGTAGCCTATAAAAAAGAAATAAGGAGTTATTATATTAAGAAAAAAAATTTAGTTCATAATCATCCACATGGGCCTGAGCAGTTCGGTATGTATAGTTCAAAACGTCAACCAAAAGGTGTTCTCGAGCAGCAGACAATGCTTCTGCTATCTCATGGTGCTAATCCTACACTTATAACAGACAATTTAAACAGGCATGGTTTAAAGACTAGACCTCGTGATATATATAACATAAAGCAAAGAATGAAATTTAAAGGTTTTTGTTATGGTTGAAACTTCAATTTTAAATTGTATGACTTTTCTAAAAGGTTAATTATCTTTTCTAAAAGGTTATTTTTTTCCCTATAAAATAAACAGGTCCTGCACTCGATGTAGTTATAAAGGTTCTTGAATTACCAAACGTCATATCCCATATTGATGCCAATCTTGATAGAAAAGTAGAGTGTATAACGTGGACAACTACTGAACAAATAAATTTGTTGAAAAAGTATCCTGAGTGTATCATGCTTGATGGTACCTATAAGGTTTGTCTTAACATTGGCTAAGTGTGTGGCGTAAGATTTTTTTTGAGGGTATAAATTCTATTTAAAAAAATAGGTATTTATAAAAATAATGAATTGCTATTAATAAATTTCCTAATAATATCCAGATTAACAACTTTTCTATGCCATTATACACAATGGCTGTTGTGGATCAAAATGGCATGGGCCGACCTGTAGTGCAGTCTTTAGTTTATCGTGAGGACCAGTCACATCTACAGCTGCTAATGACACATGCTAAGGAATGGGCTGTGATTGAAACTTTTCAAAAGTTGATGTTCATGGTTGATAAAGCTCAAGCAGAAATATCTGGACTACAGTCTGTTTTTCCAGGAAATAAAATATTTCTCTGTCGCTTTCATGTAGCTAAAGCTTTTATTTATCAAATTAAAAAGGGTAGACTTACTGCTGACGATCAGGAATTATTATTCAAGGTTTGCAATTATAATATTATTTTTAATTATTTTTAGTTTATCTTACTAACAATTGGAAAATTTATGAATAAAACTATTGTAAAAATCCAACTATGCTCTCACTTAACTATTTAAATGTTTCATTAGGCTACTCAGAAATTAATGTACGGTAATCAGGCAACATGCGCTGAAGCTTTGTTAAATATTGAAAAAAATTTCCCTACGTTCTATGTGTATCTTCAAGAAAACTGGCTGACCATACCAGAAATGTTAATGGGTCACTATAGAAAAGGTCTGATGCATTTAGACAATCATACTAATAACAGACTTGAAAGGTGCTTATTTTAAGATGACTTCATTATTTTTAATAGAAAAGTCTTGTAATGGAAAAAGTTTTAGATCGAATAAGTTAATTTTTTTATGAATTATTTAACAATAATTTTATAACAATTAATTATTGTTCTGATTAGATATCATAGAACACTTAAAGATGTTGGCCTTTTGTCACGCATGTCACCGGGAAATCTTATAGATAAAATTCTTAAGGTTAATAGAGTACAAATAGAAAAATCTAAACATGCAGACTTTGACCAACAACTAAAAATTAACAATAAACTTTCAGAGCCACTAAAGTTTTATTCACGTCATGTTTCTTCCTTTATTCTTCGTCATCTCATGGAACAATATGATAAAAGTGTCAAGTCTGATTTTAGTTTATATGAGGTTAATAATTTTTATTAAATGTACTCCATTTTTTATTATTTTTTGTTTTCCAATAAGATTTGCTAGTCAATCATTACTTATTTTATGGTGTTTTAGGACAGAGATTCATTACAAATAATCGATCGGCAATCAACTTTTTATAACATAATAGACTAGGTTTGCATCTGTGATGCTGCATCAGGGTTTGGCGTGCCGTGTGCACATGTTTTTTTTGCTCTAAGAACGAAGAATATAACTGTTAATGATCTACAGTTGACTCATAAAAGGTAACCTTGGGTTTTCTACTAATTAATAATAATAAAGGTTCGTAATATTATATAACTTCATGACCTTATTTAAATTTCAATCCACTTATGTTATAGATTGCTAAATTAAAATTTATTTGAATAATAATCAATTTACAATTTAGTAGTCAAAACATGTATTGTAATGTTGCACGCAATTTATTACTTATTAAATGTTCTGAGTCATTGTTTATTCTAGAAAAAGTTACTTTAAAAAGTTACCATGCCATTCAGGTAATCTAAAAAGCAAAACAAATGATGTATCGATGATCCCCTATTTGCATTTTTTAATGCTAAATTGATTGTCTGTTATAGTTCAATAAATGAAATAATTACTTTTATTTAATTGGCTAGAAGAATTCTTTTTTGTGTACACTGAAATAAAAATTTTAAATACATTTTTTAACCTACTTTACACTAGGATAACAGAAATTATTTACATTGACATAAATTTATTTAGGTTGATTTCATGCAATACTGTAGCAAACCAGGTAAGTTTTGATCAAGCGCCATCACATATTACCTCAAATATAGAATTATTACATCTCTGTTGTGCCACTCCCAAACAAAGATTTACAACAGCAATGAGTTACCTTCAACCAATAGCCTCTTTGCTCGCTGAAATGCCACCCAAAAAATTTGAACTTGCAATAACCTGGTTAGAATCTATTAATCAACAATGCATTTCTGGTGAATGGGAACTGATGGTATGTCAATGGATTTTAGATGCTTTCAGTTTTCAAATCATTAAAGAACTGCATTAGAAAAATGTTTTGTTTATTTTAGTTTCAAAGTGATCCTTGTCTAGAAGTTTTTACACCTGCAGAAGATCACAGTGATCTTTGTCTAGGAGGTTTTACATCTACAGTAGATCAAAGTGATCCTTGTCTAGAAAGTTTTACATCTACAGAAGATCTATCATCAAAAGAAATTTTAGAAGTTAAATCACCTTCAAGTGCAGATCCTATGATTACCCCACTTGAATGCATAAATAAAGAAATATGTGAAGTAGTCTCTCAAGAGCCACATATAAATTTAGTTTTAAGGCAACCCCAGCGGAAGCCACCTGGTCGTGTAGGTAAAAACAAACAGAGACTTTTTGACAAAGCTATAAAAGCGTTTGAAAAATTAGGTAGTTTTGAAAAAGATCATATCCGTCTCTGTTGGTTTGTAGAAAGAACAGTTGCCCTGCAGGTTTTACACGAGAGTGCTAAAATTACCACCTGCCAGTTTTTAAAGCAGTTATCGAATAAGATTGCTGATCCTAGAGCAAGTCTTGATGACATTAAGCAATATTTTGTAGAGGATGCATGGGCTGAAGTCATCAAACGGTGTGAAGATGTGAGAATTGAAAAATGGCCGTGTCAAGTATGCGGGCAGTCTAAGGCAGCTGGAAAAAACCAAAAATGGCTTCAGTGTGATCATTGTTTAGACTGGTCGCATTATGTTTGTCTACAAATATCTTGCAAACCTAAATGATATTGGTTCTGTGCTCAATGTAAAGTAAGGAAATAGTGGAATTTAGGTTCATATCCTAATATAAAATATTTTTAAAGGTTTTTAATATCTATTTATTTAGCGACATAAATAAATATTAAAATGTTTATTATTTATTATTTATAGAAACGGTTAGTATATTATAATATTTATAAAGAGCATACTCCATATTTATTTTTATTTATTTAATATATTATAATATAAATTAATATATTATAAAAAACATTAAAAATAGCTTTTAATTGGCAATTAGCTTTGTGTTTCTTTAGCTAGTGTCCCTTTTTTGCAAAATTCTTGAACCTGATAGTTAAAAATACTTTTTTTGAAATAGCCCTTTATACTACTTTTGAAATAGCCCATGCTACTTTCTAGCGTTTCTTAGTTAAGTCTTTTTTAAGCTTACACTTAAATATTGTTATATGTAGAAATGATTTTTGCTTATCTCTAAATATTTTTTATTGCAAGCTACATTTTATTGTTTTTGATATTTGTTATTGCTTAGCTTTGAAAAAATTAAATTTCATTATTATTTTTGTTTCTTTGGAAACCATTATTTTAAATCAGATTTTGGAATTTTCAAATTGCTGAATTTTGTAGATTTTTGATTTTTAATTAAAAGTTAGTAATTCCAGGCTAGAATTAGAGGTATTTGAAGAAAATATCAGCTTTTTTAATTAGATATTTTTCTGCTATTTGGTAGAACATCAGGTTTTGGCGGAAAGTGAGAGTTGCAGCTTATGGGTCATTATTTGAGCTTTGATTAGTCATGATACATTTTTTAAACATTATGTTATGCATTGTATGATGTATTATAATATAATGTATCATAGTTTATATCTAATGTATCATAGTTTATATCTAAGATAAAAAAATGACAAAAATGCTTCCTGCATTAAAATAAAGTTAGAACAAAAGTGTTAGACATGTTGTTAGGCATTTTTCTTTTTTAATTTGTTTCAGAAATTTTATAAAGATACTTTCAGTGCTTAACTTTGATAACGTTCATTTGTTTTTCATATTGCATTCTAGAACTTTTTAATTTTGTTGTGTAAAGTGATATTTTAACTGTGCAGCTTTATTTTAATTTTATACCTTTTCATAAAGTCAACACGAAGTTTATGTTACAGAATGATTTCTTGTTAATTTTTATTTATTAGTTTACTTTGAAAATACATCATGAAAATAAGTGTAACTATTATTAAGTGAAATAATGTGTAACTATTATTTTTAGCAATGTTTCAAAGACTATTATTTTTATCAATGTTTTTAAGTCTAACAAAAGGTTAACCTGTTTCTCTGGTAAGACAGGAAGAGTTTTTTATAGTCATTATAGTTGTATAATATATTATAATCAAGGAATGAATTAGAGGAAAAGTTATTTGCATATAATTTATTCTTGGGAGTTATAAGATGAGACCCATGAAGTAGAGCTGGAGAATTAGATTATCCTTTGTTGTTGACACTGTTAAAGTAAGTACAGTACCTGTTTATTTTCATAAAAGTTTTGTTTTGTTGTTGTTGATAATAATTTTTTAAATATGACTTTTTAAGGGAAGTTCATTTGTATTTTATCTTTATGTTCGCCTTTTTTCATTTAAACACTGGTGTGGAAGGTAATTTTTGTAAGTTATGGAATTTATGCATAGTTATTTGGTTTTGTGCTGTTTCATTTGCTTAATTCGTTTTAGATTAGTTGAAGAGAGATTCAGACACGTAGGCTTTACTCCTTTTATTTAATCTCTTTGTTTACATCTTTACAAAATATTTTACTTTAATTAATTGTAAAATCAACCATTGTTTTTAATTTAGTTATGAATGAGTCTATGAATTAGTCTGATAGCGAACAAAAAGTTGCATTCTTTATCACAACTTTAAGATGTACAAGACTCAAAGTTTCTTATATCTTTATTGTTCCCAATATTCAACATTGCATTATGTTGAAAATATTGGAAACCATAAAAATCTATGAATTGAAAACTACAAACTAATTAGAAAAACAGAAGTTATATCATCTTCAATTTAAATTGATTACTTAAAACCACACGATGTTTTTCAATAACGCAAACAACGACTGCTACATCAGCAGCAGCAGTATCAAAAAAAGCAGGTAAATTGTTTTTATAGATGGATTATTTTTTTTCGGATGTTCCCGGTATTCCGGGTATTTTTCAAGACTTTTTGTTTTCCGGATATCCTCAATTATTTTAAGTATGCATTTGTGTAAATGTTTGGAGCTTTTTAGTCATCACTCATACAAAAAAATGATAAAATTAACTCAGCTGAAGGCAAAAATTAAGAGAAAATTATGAGAAAAAATATTATGCATATTGTACGCAAAGAAATTTCAGGATTTTTAAATTATAACCTGGACGATCTATGTTTTATAAGTGGTGTCTTCTCCCTTTTTGTATGCATAAAAAAAAGGAAAAACCTTTTTAACTTTTTTCAAGACTTAATTTTCAAACACTTTCTGTTTTTCTGTAATGAGGGTTTATTATTAAAAAAAGCATTAATGGAACTGTAGCTGACACCGTTTTTGTGGTAGCTATTTATGTTATATGTTTATATATGTTATATGTTTGCTAAAACTTATAATACTTATTTATCCACTATTTATATTGTATCAATCATATATATTTCTGAACAAGGTCTTACAGTCAAGGATACTTACAATTACTTTAAAACTAATATAAAGTAAAAACCTAACGATAATCATATTAAATAATATTAGTGATACAAATAAAAATTATAAAGATAATAGTTATAAATTATCAACACCAATAGCAACAAAAATGGTTTAAATTATAATAAAAATAAATCAATATTTTAAAAGAAAAAATTAATATTATATACATAAACAGGGGAAAAAAAAAAACAATGGTTAATTAATATTTACAACATCTATAATCATAAAATATTATTTGACCACAAACAAATATTAACTTTATTAAATGATTATATTTATTAGTTAAATATCTGATGCTATGTGTTATTATTGTAAGTAATCAATGTGTTGTCGTGTTTTAGTGTTGCTAGATAGCTTGACTTAATTTCCCGCTGATGTCTATTTTTAAAAACGACTATTACTTGTTTCATTACTGGAACTCACAACTTCTAATTTAAAAAATAACTAAAAGATTTTTCTTAGTAATTGGTTTAAAGCTGAATTTGATTTTTATCTTAAGACCGAAGAAGTTGCAAAACCTGTCATTACTGCGAACTGGCATAGGCGCGAATCAGTATAAGTGCACCATAAGAACTTATAGACATCAGCTTAAGTGCAAACTGGTATAAGTGCGATGCAGTTGCATAGAATGGCATAAGTGCAAGTGGATTAAGTGCGCCAAAAATATTGCAAACACTGCCATGAGTGTGCATCATCATAAGTGCGAACTTGTAAATAAAATTTTATTAATAAGCATTTAATGGACTCCTGCAACAAAATTAATATATATACGGTAAAAAAATATATATGACATTTTATTTTCTGAGATATATTCCTTAATTACTTCCACTCTATTAACAACTCCTCGCCTGGGTTTTTTATGTTACTTAGCTAATACATTTCAATGAGCATTATGCTTTTCCCTTTCAAAATAACAACATTTTTATTATTTTAACAGTTTCCTCGTGAATTTTCACTGTACGTAACTTTTTAAACTAATTTTCACTGTACTGTAACTTTTTAAACTAATTTTCACTGTAACTTAAAAGCTTTTCTGATAAATACGGTGAATTTTCACTGTACAGTGAATTTTCACTGTATTTAGCGAAAAACGTTTCCTTAGGTACAGTGAATTTTCACTGTATTTAGCGAAAACGCTTATTTAGGTACAGTGAACTTTCACTGTATTTAGCGAATAGCGCTTTCTTAGGTACAGTGAATTTTCACTGTATTTAGCGAAAAACGCTACCTTAAGTACAGTGAATTTTCACTGTATCTAACACCAAGCATATTATTTTAGAATTTTTTGTTTTAGACACATGGCATTTGCTATCCTACTGTAAGTTAAAACTAGTTGTAAAATTAAAAAAATTTATATTGGAACTTCTATTTCTTTTAACATTCATGTTTATTTAATTGAGTTACAACTAAGGTTATATATGAATTATTTATACTATCTTAGAATTTGCTGCTTTAGAGGCATGGCATTTAGTGTCACATTGTAGGTTTAAATTGGTTGTAGAATTTATATTGTAACTTGCATATTTATTTAGTTGAGTTTATATTTGATGTGTTAGTAATATTTTAGAATTTACTGTTTTAGACATGTGGCATGTGGTATCCCACTGTAAATTTGAATTAGTAAATTTTAAAAAAGTTATACTTTAACTTGCATTTCTTTTGACGTTCATGTTTATATAATTAGATTACAACTAAGTTTGTGTATGGCTTGTTTATATTATTTCAGAATTTGCTATTTTAGACACTTGGTATAAGCTGTCATACTGTAAGTTTAAATTGGTTGTAAAATTTATATTGTAACTTACATTTCTATTAGCGTGCATATTTATTTAGTTGAGTTTTAACTATTAATAATAATAATAATGATAAGTTTATATCTGGCGTGTTTATATTATTTTAGAATTTGCTGTTTTAGACACATGACTTGTGATATCCCACTGTAAGTTTGAATTAGTAAATTTAAAAAAATTGTATTTTAACTTGCATTTCTTTTGGCATGCATATTTATTTAGTTTAGTTGACTAAGTTTATATCACACTTTTTTAATTATTATTCTACTATATTCTATATTCACTATTATTTTAGAATTAGCTATTTTAAACATGTGACAAGTGGTATGACACTGTAAGTTTAAATAAGTTGTGAGATTTATTTTTTTATATAGTTGCTTGCGTTTTTTTTGGTCTGCATATTTAATCTTCTTTTGATTTATCATAAGCAAAAAATAAGGTTAGAGACCTTATTTTTTGCTCCTGATAGGTATTAATGTATGTGAAATGTATAGAGTCTTTCAGTTATCAGATAATGTCAAGGTAATCTTATACTCTTTTTTAAATTTACATTTTAATAAAGATATAATTTACTTGTTCCATTTAACTTTATCTTTAGAAAACGATATCAGAGATAATTAAAATAACAAAATTTAGAATAGAAATTTATATATAATGAATTACCCAAAAACATTTTCTATAGTGTTATCAGTAACATTTTATTTTGGTTTTATACTAGGTATGTGAAGCACTTGTATAAAGAACTACAATATTTTAATTCTTAAGTTTTTCTACTCTAAAATAAACATAATCATAATAATCAAAACATAAAAACATAATCTAAAATAATCAAAACACAACATTCTCTGCAGCCATAATACAAACAGAATACTCTATAATACAAACAAGGTTTTTCATGTATCTTCTTCTATAAGTCGTAATGGTCGACGAATTGCTCTTGAGGATCTACGTGTGTCTTTTCCAGGTGTTATTAATAACAATGGATTGATTGGACAAGCATCATTGACAAGATTTTCAGCTGGCGGAGGTTGATAAAGGGGAGGCTGGTTAGGAAAGTTTTCAGGATTGGTATTGGTAAGTCCATATTTCTCAGGTGTTAATGGTTTATAGGGGTAAGAAGGTTTATTAAAAGCATTCTCTGGTGAAGGTTTAATATTATTAAAGGCATTCTCTGGTGAAGGTTCAATATCGTTTGTTTGATCAATGATCGGAGCAGAACTTGTTGGAGCTAAGTGTCTTAGGGAAACTGTGGTTTCTCTTCCATCTGGATACTTTATGTGAGCATATTGAGGATTAGCATCTATGAGTTGCTCTTCGTCTACCAGTGGTTCATACTTATTATTACGTAAATGTCTTTTCATTAGTATTGGTCCAGGATGACTTAACCATGAAGGTAAAGTGCATCCAGAGGCTGTTTTACGAAGGTGCTTAAACATTCTTTCATGAGGTGTCTCCATTGTTTTAGTATTTACTAAGGATCTTATAGAATGGAGACTGTCTGGCAATACTTTTTCCCAAGCAATGGGTAAATTGTGTTGTCTAGTAGCAATCTCAATAGACTTCATTATAGTTCCATTATACTTTTCGGCTTGTCCATTCCCTTGTGGATTATATGCTGTAGTATGACTTGTCGCAATACCTTTCTCTAGTAAGTATTGTTTTAATTCTTTACTGATGAAGGCTGAACCTCTATCGGAATGGATGTAACTTGGCAAACCAAAAATCAAGAATACTTGTGACAAACACTTAATTACAGTCTGAGCTGAAATATCAGGGCACGGGATTGCAAAAGGAAAACGAGAATACTCATCAATTATGGTTAAAAAATACTTGTTATTAGTTTACGAAGGAAGAGGTCCTTTAAAATCTAAGTTCAAACGTTCCAGTGGTTGTGTCGCCTTTATCAAATTAGATTTTAGTGGTTTCTAGTATCTAGGCTTACATTCACAACATAGTTTGCACTGATTAGTTATTCGTTTAACATCATCAATTGAGAAAGGTAAATTACGGTTTTTAATAAAAGCATAAAACCTAGTTACTCCAGGATGACAGAGTGATTGATGAAGCTGAATTAAGTTGTTAGTGTTTATTGCTGAGCAATGTATTCTAGAAAATGTGTCAGCTGGAATATTTAGTTTCCCTTCCCTGTAAACAATGTCATAATTATAGCACGATAATTCAATTTTCCATCGATAAATTTTATCATTTTTAATCTTTGATTTATGTTGCTTTTCGAAGATATAGGATACAGGTTGCTGATCAGTAATAAGTTTAAAATGGTGTCCAGTAAGGTAGTGTTTCCAATGTCTGACTGCTTCTATTATTGCGCAAGCTTCTTTCTCAATAGAGGGATGTTTGAGTTCAGATTTTTGAAGTAATCTTGAAAAGAAAGCTACAGGGCGGCCATTTTGATTAAGAACTGCAGCTATAGCAATGTCAGATGCGTCCATTTCTACTTCAAATGGAACATTTTCGTCCACATAATCTGGCACAGCATTTGCAATGTCTTGTTTGAGTTGATTGAAATCATTTACACACTGATGATCTTATGGGTACTTGGTGTTTTTGGTAAGAGAAGCTATCTTATCGGAAAAGTTTGGAATCCATTTAGAGTAGTATGAGAATAGTCCGATGATACGCTTCATGGATTTAGCATCATGAGGAGGAGGCATTTCTTTCATAGGTTGAAGACGACTGGGATCTGGTTTGAGTTTTCCTTCTTCTATAAGATAACCAAGAATGCAAATTTTATCTTGGGAAAAGCTACATTTATCATGATTATAAGTAAGATTTATATTTTTAGCTGACTTGAGAAATTTTTCCAGATTAAGATCATGCTCCTCTTGGGTTTTACCACATATTGTCACATTATCTAGATAAGCATAAGTATCTAAAAGTCCTTCCTTTTCTATAAATTCGTTTATGGTACGTTGAAAACAAGCAACCCCATTTTCAATTCCAAAAGGCATTCGCTTAAATTGGAACAACCTCCCATTTGCTTCAAAAGCTGTAAATTTTCTATCATTTTTGGTAATTGGAATTTGATGGTAGGCTGATTTCAAATCAACTGTACTAAATATTTTGTATTGAGCAATTTTGTTTACCAGATCATCAATCCTTGGTAATGGGTAAGCGTCTAGTTGAGTATACTTATTTATTGTTTGACTGTAGTCAATAACTAATCTTTTCTTAGAGCGTTCTCCTTTAGTTACAACTACCTGAGCTCTCCAGGGAGAATTTGAATGTTCGATAATGTCCTCTTTAAGCATACGTTGTACTTCCATTTCAATGAATAATTGGTCTTCTTTGCTATATCGACGAGATTTTGAAGCTATTGGTTTACAGTTAGGCGATAAATTGCCAAATAAACTAGAGGGAGATACATTCAACTTCGACAAACCACAAATTAATGGTGGGGGTCTTTTTCCTTCAAACTTAAGGGTTACAGCTTTGTGTTGTTTTTGAAAATCGAGACCCAGAATAACATCCATGCATAACTCATTTAAGATGTTAAGTTTTACTAGTTTATAATGCTCATTTTTTATTGAAATATTGACAAAAACTACTCCACAAACTGTACTAGATAAAGATGATGAAGCCATAGATACGTGTTTTTGGTTTTGTCTATGAACTGTTAGGTTTAGTTTTTGTACCAATCGAGGGTGAATAAAACTATCAGTGCTACCACTGTCAATGAGAGCATTTACGAATGAACCATTAACCAACATGCCAATTGTTGATTTAGTCAAAGGTGAAATGGAAGCAGAAATGTTCTTTAAATTAGTTTTATGTTCAGAGTAGTCTAGTCAAGTGAGTGAAGGATTGTATGAGTTTAAAGGTTGATCAACAAGATTCATCCCTGCTGTTGTAAGTTTAGAAGATTTACATAACTTGGCAAAATGACCAACTTTCTCACATTTAAAACAAATCGACTCTCTAGCTGGACAGACAGCTTTAGCATGTCTTTGATTCCCACAGTTCCAGCAATTTGAAACAGAATTTGAGTTAAATTGCTTTGGCTTTTTTGTTATTGCAGCTACTGTTGTATCTGATGTATTATACTGGAGGTAATTTTCAGCATTTTTCTGCGCTGATTCCAAGGTTCTAGCTTTTGAAAATATTTCATCCAGACTTATTGTACTGTTTTCTAGTAGTCGCTGTCTGACAACCTGTGAATTTATCCCTGTTATAAATGCATCTCTAATATATTCATCGCGATATTCAATAGCAGACACCTGTTTAAAGTTACATTCTTTTGCTAAAACTTTAATAGCGTGTAAATACTCATCAAAACTTTCTCCTGGCTGTTGCTTACGAGTTGCCAAGAGGTGTCGTGCATAAACCTCATTTGATGGTTTGATGTACACAGATTGTAAAGCTTGTATTGCTGCTTCATAATTTGGACATTCGCTTATTATTTCATAAACATCGGGCACAACAAAATTAGTCAGGATTTTTAACTTATTGAGTTCTTGAGGGAGTTCATCAAGATAATATTCAAATGTTCTGAGCCAATGTTTAAATAATTTTGTTGCCGAAGGTGAGTTCGGTAATGTATCCAAACGAGAAGGTCTTAGAGCTCTATTCATATTTTATTTTGATAAGAGTAGAAAATTGAAGCACTTGTATAAAGAACTACAATATTTTAATTCTTAAGTTTTTCTACTCTAAAATAAACATAATCATAATAATCAAAACATAAAAACATAATCTAAAATAATCAAAACACAACAGTATGTTATTAAGTTTCCATATTTTCCTTATTTTATTTTATATTAATCTTTAAGGAGTTGACAGCATGGTGTCGATTTAAAGTGCGAACCTGTGTATGAGTAACAACAGTATTCAAAACCAAAACCTATTTAAACCAACCAAAGCAAAACTAGCGACCAAAAACTAATATCTTGGCATTGGTTTATTTTAAACATCTATTATATATGTATATATATGTATATATATATATATATATATATATATATATATATATATATATGTGTGTGTGTGTGTGTGTGTGTGTGTGTGTGTGTGTGTGTGTGTGTGTGTGTGTGTGTGTGCGTGCGTGCGTGCGTGCGTGCGTGCGTGCGTGCGTGCGTGCGTGCGTGCGTGCGTGCGTGCGTGCGTGCGTGTTTTATATAAATGTACTAGCTTGAGAATAAATATTAAAAATACATTTTTTTAACTATTTTTATTGTAATTTAAAATATATTGGATTAAATATTATAAATATTTGATTAGTTTTCAATTTTTGGTTAAAACGTTTTAATGTAGAATATCGAAATAAAATAATGCAATTAAATAAAAATGCAAACATTAACAATTATAAGGATTATTTGGTTATGTTATAAGTCACAATTCTGGCCTCTCTAATTTTAGATTCAAGTGATTTCAACGAAATAATCACTATAATAACTTATTAACACATTTATTTAATAGGAATAACAACCGCGGAAAATTTGCTGCCTTGTGTAATAACTCCTTAATTCTAACGGATTATTCGTTGCACTAACTAAATAAATCCGTAAATTCAATAGACTATTCATAACGGACTTCAATTCGTTAAAATTTTAATTTGTTAACTTAACGGATTTCCCGTTAGTGCAATAGCGACAAATACAATTCGTTGTATATAACGGATTTTTTCTTAGAGTGTAAATACTTGTAATATTATACTTATGTTTATAATACTGATAACATTTTTATTGATATGAACTTTTGCGTTCAAACTTTAGTTATAAAAACTTTAATTTAACTTGATAACTTTAACAAATATAACAATAACTAAAAAAAGATAATAATTTCTATATAGATTATAACCATATGCTTATTTGTTATAATTGAGTTATAGTAAGTTAAACACGATAAAATGTTAAGTTCTAGGTAATAGGTCTTATATGATATGTATCTTATGTAATCTTGTATTTTGCAGCATATTCAAGAGTATTTCTGCATGGTGCACTCTGACTGTTTACAATATTTGCATACTAAAATGAGTAAAAGTGACTTCAACAACCAGAATGTATTTTTGATAAATATTAGTAATAACAGGTTAGTAAATTTAATTATAATAATAATGATAATAACTTTTTATTATTAGAATTAGTGAGAGACTTATGTATAATAGAACTGCATTAACTTTGGGGACAATTATAATGGTTTGAGTAAATATTACCGTTGTTTATTACCTCGATTAGAGTAATGTAAGAAAATATTATTTTTACCTAAAGAATATTCGGAAAAAGTCAGTATTTCCTACGTATTAAATATTATAAAAAAATATGTGTTTAAAAAAAATGTATCATAATTTTAAAAATTAATTGTTTGAGTATAAAAAAAACACATTTATTATTATAATGTATAAACATCACATTAACTATGTTATAAAGTAGGGGTTGCAGCTGATATTTCAGCTACAGCTATAAACTCATTAGCTTCAGATTAATGCTGAAGCTGATCAAGTCAGTTTAATCAGCTTGATAGCTGATAGTAAAAGAGAATAATACTCCATAAATATTTTTTATTTATTAATTTATTTAATAACTGTGTACATGTACAATGACAATGTACGGAGCCTAGTTGATCTAGGCTTTAACAGCCGATTTATGTTAAAAATAAGTCCAACTTTGATTTAAATTGTTTAAGTGTTTTAGAATCTACAATGTTTTGATCTAAGTTATTCCAGCTGTAAATAACACGGTTCGTTAAGAAATAGTTCCTCTTTGGATTTTTAGTTATTGTCTATGTCTATTTAGTTAATTATCTATTTATATAAAGTATATTTTTATATAGGAATTTATTCAATGAAAATCTAAAATAGTGACAAAATTTAAATATACATGTTAAAAATTTTAAATGAAATTTGCCAAAAGTTGTTGCTATTTATAAATGTTGCCATCAGAGCCCGAAAATCTAATTCCATTTTTTATTATCTTAAGGGGACCAACTATCTTTTGTTCAAAAAGAGTACACTTTGCAAATATTTCATAGGTGAAAAAAAAGAAGAAAAAACGATCAAAATGTTATTTTCTTTTAAAAACATATTTTTCTTCAGAGTGAATTTTTTTTGCTAAATGAGGATGTTCGTCTAATAATGTAGCCGCATCCGAACATATTAAATTGCATATTAAATTTGACTGTTAAGACGGCAGATAATGTTTTTACAGATAGTTGCAACTTCTCACTGCTCCAATAATCATTCCTTAGTGAAAATACCCTTTCAACAGCAGCATTAGTGCCTGGACAACATAAAGAAATTTCTATTAAAACTTTTTAATTTTCATGTGGGATATGTTCTACTCAAAAATGCCAAATATATCTAGTCAAGTTCTATTTTCTCATTGTTCCATTTCTTCAATTTTTCTTTATTTAAATATAAATTTACTCTTTGAATTTTTTCAAAGAGAAAATTGTCATAAATAACAAAATCTTTTACTTCCTTCATTACAAATTCGATTCCTGAAGAAACTTCTTTCCATTCAATTTTACTATTTATAAGGGTCCATTTGAAACAATTCAATGCTCTAAAGTTCATTATCCATTTTTCGATATAATCATAGCAAATTTTATAAAAATTTTTAACTTCTTTTAAAAATTTATTTTTTATTCCGGGATTGGAATCTCCCAAAGCGGTCAGTTTATAGGCTTTAATATAGCCTTTAATATTGTATGTAGTAGTGTATGTATATATTTTTTTATTTAAATTTGCCTTTAATTTGTTTTTTTATATTTTTCTGCTAAACTTGTTTTCTGTCACTCTATCCTTCTGAACTTATGCGATTAAGTTTTTGTTTTCTCTTACATATTTTCTCACTTATCTCATCTCTTCATTCTCTCTTTTTTTTTTCATTTTTCTTAGCGTTATCCTCCTTTATATTTTGGTGCTAATTCCAACTTTTTTAAAATTATTGATCCTTATTCTTCTTTTTTTATTACTTGTATTAATGTAGTTTACTTTCTTTATTATTTCTTTGTTTTAATATTTTTTTATTTTATTTGTTTATTTTATTAAGGTGTCGCTCCATTTACTAGTTTTTAATATGAGTGACACCCAACATAAATTTGTAAATTATAATTAAGTTTGTAATTTTTGGTTTTATGGTTAATTAATCATAAGCGCATGCGTAGTATGTAGTATTATTATGTACAGTAAGGTTTTTTTATCTATTAATTAAATAAATAGATAAAAAAACTTTGCTGTACATACTACGCATGCGTCAAGACTGTCAAGCATGCCGTACATACTGCATATCAAAGATCAGCCTGGGGATTACATACACAAATATTGGATAGATATATCCATCTCTTTTCACAAATGTAATTTTGATGTTGTTAACAAAAGAGGTCTGTAGTATCTATCTATCTCTACAAGTACATAATACAACTTCTCAATTGTGCTGAAAAAGGCAGCCATATGTGCGTGCAAAATTTAAATCACTGTCAAACTTGTGTCTGGTGTTTGCCCTGTCCTCTGACGTGCCAGAAACAGCAAGCAATATGCACGCGTGAAATTCAAATCATTGTCAAAATAATTTTAAATATTTAATTAATAAAATTGAAATGAAATAATCTAAAAAAATGTTTTAGAAATACAAATGAGTACAAAATTATACAAATGAGTACTTTCATTTGTATAATTTTATATTGTGAAAAAAGAGTACAAAACTCAGTAAATGAGAATAGTTGGTCACCTTAATTATCTACACAATTTTTTGGTAGATTTCAAAGTTCTTGCAAAAGATGGTTTTTTCTATGAAAATATTGGGTTTAAAATCAATCTTGCAGTTATGTGATGCACTAGCTAGAGCATTTGTAGAGTGTATTAAAGGACACAATGGTTATAACTGATGAGAGTGTTGTGTTTAGAAAGGAGAGTGGTGTGGCAAGATAATTCTCCTACACATTTCCCTAATTTTAAACACTGATTCAGATTTTTTGTCATCAAAAGTATTCTGAACATTTTAGTGGTGTGTTAAATTTAATTTTGACATGGTGACAAAGTTTCCTTTAGACTTAATGCATCTAGTATGCTTAGGGGTAATGTGAAGATTTGTCAACTTATGGTTAAATTGTCCAAATGTTGTAAATTGTCTCAGAGAACAGTCAATACTTTATCTGGCGGATTGTTCCAGATACGTCATTACATTCCAAGAAATTTTCTAGAAAATCAAGGTCTTAATTAGATATTAAAAAATGGAAAGCAACTGAACTATAACTGAACTAACACTATTTATAGTATACATTGGACCAGTTGTTTAAAGGGAATGGTTTAGCTAAAAATCAATTCAAACTTTTTAGATTTTTCAGTTGCAGTTCTTATTTCATAATGTTTTATTTTGTTAAAAAAATATGTTAATTTTGCTTTTCAGCTAATGTACAATGTCCATTCATTAGCTCATATAGGAAATAATACAGTTAAATTTTAAGTACTTGATAGATGTCCCTCTTTCAAATACAAAACTTTTTCAGGTCAATTAAAAAAGGTTGTTCAAAGACCAAAGGGTTGCTCAAATAAACACGTACATGAATATAAACAGAAGTTTAGTATTCCTAATTTTAATGTAATCATTGCATTGAGACACTGTTTACAGTTTAAAAATTAATAATCATTGCATTGAGACACTGTTTACAGTTTAAAAATTATCAAGGTTTAGAGTATTTTATTTCAGCTAATGAAAGTGATAATTGTTTTGAAATTACAAAAAAATATGGTTCAGGTAAAAAGGTTTTAAAAAGCAGACAAATCTTATGACAAATAGGTTATGTATGAGGAATTTGCAACTTTTTAGTCGTTTTATACTCACACACACACACAGATTATCTATATATATATATATATATATATATATATATATATATATATATATATATATATATATATATATATATATATATATATATATATATATATATATATATATATATATATATATATATATATATATATATATATATATATATATATACATATATATATATATATATATATATATATATATATATATATATATATATATATATATATATATATATATATATATATATATATATATATATATATATATATATATATATATATATATATATATATATATATATACTATAGCAGCCAAAAGTCATGGTTACAGTGGTTTTTAACTACAGTTTTACCAGTTTTAATTGAAAACAACTTCCATAGATTGATATTTATTACCTAAAACATCAAAGATTGACAAGAATAACAAAATAAATTCATATTTACATAAAATTCACACAAAATTTTAATATTTAGTGTGTCCACCATGCACGCGAAGGCAGGCTCTAATACGGCGCGGCATTGATTCTATCAGATTTCGAATCTGAGTAACTGAAATCTGCGACCACGCTACTTCAAGCAACTGCCAAAGCTGGTCAAAAGTGCTTGGTTTTGAATCCTGCACCTTTCTGAAGAGGATTTCCCACATATGTTCTATGGGGTTGAGGTCTGGGCTTTGAGCAGGCCAGTCCATCACCTGTACATTCTCATGCCTCAAAAAATCAGACACTGTCATCGCCTTATGACAAGGTGCATTGTCATGTTGAAATACAAACCTCCTGTTCGCACCAAAAATGGTTCTAGCAGAAGGCAGCATATGATTTTTGAGGATGTTAAGGTACTCGATCTGATTTACAGTACCGTTACAGCGGTACAACTGCCCTACTCTCGACCAAGACATGCAACCCCATACCATGAGGGAACCCCCTCCATGCTTTACTGTTGGAGCAATGCAGTCTTTGTGATACTTCTCACCTATTCTCCTCCTAACCAAGACTCGCCTTGCTCCACAGAAAAGCTGAAAGGTGCTCTCATCGCTCCAAAGCACCTTCTTCCAGTCTTCGGCAGTCCAGTCCTTATGCTCCTTCGCAAATCGCAGTCTCTTCAACTTATTAGCCTTAGATAAGAGAGGCTTCTTGGCTGCAACTCTGCCATGCAGACCTGCATTTTTCAGTCTGCGTCGTATGGTACTCGCACCTGTAACGACCCCCATCTCAGTTTGCAATCGAGCGTGCAGGTCAACGGCTGTCTGGCGACGATTCTCGAGACACATCCGAATCAGTGCTCGGTCCATCCTCGGTGTGGTTTTCTTCGGTCGCCCAGACCTTGGTAAATCTCCGACACTACCCGTCTGTCTCATCTTCTTTACTATTCTAGCAACAGTATTTACACCTATGCCCATCTCTTTGGCGATCACCCGATAAGATTTGCCTTCTTCTGCCTTTACGAAGGCTGCCATTCTGTCCTGAATGCTCAGCTTGTTGTATTGACTCATGGCTATTCAGCAAAATCTATAAAAATAATTAATACTTTAGTCACTTAAATCATAGTATAAACAATTATAACAGTAAGACAAACATTTCTGCAGTGTTTTAAACAGGTTTAGGTAATGTTCAATATTTTATTATTATTTTTAAAATAATTTTCACTATTTATTCAGAAATATTCTTCTAAATCAATACTTAATGTCTAAAAAATTACCACATCATCTCTATTATCACTCATTCATTAAAAAATTACTATCTACTATTTCTACAACTGTTTGTTTACAAAATACATTATGTAATAAATAGTTACAATATTGTTTCTTACCTTTGTGTAAATCTAAAATTTTGTTTTTATATAGAATGCTCAAACTGTTATATATAAATCTGCAATGAATTAATAAAACTCTATTTTTATCGGTTTGTCAATGTAAACAACAGTGTTCTATTAATAGCACATTCACGATGACACGTTCTGGGCATACTAAAAGCCTAAATAAATGACTACATGACAAGAATTGTATTGAACTCTAAAATAAAACTGCTGTAACCATGACTTTTGGCTGCTATAGTATATATATATATATATATTTATTTATATATATAAATTTATATATACACACTTACTAAAGCATGTTTTGATAAGCATTTGCTCACTTACCTCTGCTTACCTTAAGCTATACCGTTTTTTTTGAAAAAGAAGAAGAAAAAACAAAGAATGATGAATAAAACGATTGCTTCCCCATCCCAAACCCTCAGTTGATGTAGCAGCACTCCACTGCGAGTCAGGCTATTTGTCATTCGATGTATGTACTGAAGCCCCCAGTAGCAGGCTATTTCAATATGATGTCAGATTGCTTACCTTAATACGCAATACTATTTGTATATATATATATATATATATATATATATATATATATATATATATATATATATATATATATATATATATATATATATAAGCAGAGCTTTGTCTAGGGGGCTCATTTGCAAATTTAGGGGCCCTTTTACAAATGTAAGGGTTTTTTTTTTATTTAGTATTTTTATTTAGATTTTCTTTATCTATTGGAAAAGATTTTAAGAATTTTGGGGCTCTTATGACAGGTTTTTTTTTTAATGGGTGGGGGGCTTGTATCTAATAGCCATGGCACTGTATATAAGGTATATACAATATATATATCAAATTATATACAATATAAATAAAAAAATATATGTATTTAATAATTTTATATAATTTATTTATCAGTAACTAAAGGAATGTTATCAATTTATTATATGAATCATAAGCATGTGCTTATGTATCTATTACAAGTACATTTTAAAACGTTGAAATAATCGTCGATTATAAAATAAAGGTGATGTTTTTCTACCTTCGATGGTGAAAATTACATTTTTTATCTGAAGAGTGTTGGAAGAAATCGTAAGAGTTTTATAACATATTAAAAATAATGTATGTGTTACCTATAAAGTTTAAAACTAACAGTTAAATTTAATTTTTTTACAGCTCATATTGAAACGAGATATTGTGTGAAGAGGTTTTCAAAGAAGTCGTCAAAGCTTCCAATTCCCGAGATAACCGTAAAAGCATTCCATACATGATTAAAGAATCGTTTAAAAGTTTGCTTAATTTCGACAGTGTAATTTTAATTACTATTTTTTTAAAAATAAACCAATCAATTTATATATAAATTTGCTTTTTCTGTAAATTTAAAACATTTAAATGTAGTTTTGCAAAGTTTGCAAAACTACATTTAAATGTTTTAAATTTCCCGGTCTTCCCATACGGGACCCAGTTGACAATCCTTATGGGCCCCGTACGGTACCCGTATGTCAATTTTGGCTGGGTAATTACTCTCTTAGAATAAACCAATGGAATACTTATAAATTGCCTAGAATTAGGAGCAAGTATTCTGAATACGGAATAGCATACCGTGGACCGAAACTATGGAACACATTTCAAAAAACCAAACATTTAAATACTGTAAAATCATTAAACTCCTTTAAGTTTCTAATAAAAATGAAATTTTTAAACATTAAATAATTTTGCAATTTTTCTAAATAAACATCGAATTCCATTATTATTAGTTTGAAAAAAAAAATCGTGTCTTTTTTTTTATATTTAAAACAATGTCAGTATTTTTTTAAATGACTATTGTTAAAATTATATTAATACTATTTCCTTTCTTTCTTTAAATGTAAATATTTATGAAAGTTTTTTTTTATTATATTGGAATTGTACAATTGTATTTTTAACAATCTTATTATATTTTAAACTTGTAAAACCCACATAGGGGCTTTTTGAAAAGATTGTGGTGACTTTAGTAATCCGTATCTTCTTTGAGCCCCTGCCTGTTTTTATAAATCGACTTTTTTTTGTATGTAAATGTTTCTATGGAATTATAATTTCTTATTATATAAACAGCAAATATATATCAACTAAAAAAAAAAAAAAAAAAAAAAAAACTGTGCAGCTCATTTAAACGTAAAACTACAGATTCAAATATTAACACAAAGTTGTAATTTTATTGACGATGAACATGAAAAGAAAGTATTTTTTAATAGAAAATAAAAAGTCAAGTCTTATTTTCTTTTTTATGCTGTAATTTTTATTATCATATTTACTATTTACTATTGAAAATATTGAGACTACTTTAAATTAATCAAAAACAAAATTGTTAGAAACAGTTATATACAGCTGGAGGGCAATTTGTTATATACAGCTGGAGGGCAATTATCATAAAACTCACAAGGTTCGGATTTCTTCACCGACCAGTAATTTAAAAAGTCATTTGTTTTTTGCTCACAAAATATTAACAGACAAACTGGCTTTTGAATTAAAAAATGATCAATTTTTACATAGATAGTGCGATAACTAGCAAGTTCATTGAAATATGATGTGAATCGCAATTTTGTCCTTTAGTCTTCAAGAGATCTACTACCGTTCTCTCATGTTGATAAAGAGGGATTTAAAAAGTTTTCTTATAAAAAATATTGGATTAAACCTTCCCACAGGTTATAAGTCAAGTTGCTCTACCAGATTTTTACAAATCCTTAAGGTGATCTGTATTGGAAAATTCAAAAGATATTGATGCGGAAATTCAAAAGATATTGATGCGGAAATTTAAAAGATATTGATGCGGCAACAATTATATTTGACGATTGGACTAATTATTACAAAAAAATTAGTTATAAAAAAATTAGTTATAAGGCTAAAGTGTTCCATTATTAATGATAACTGGGATAGAAAAATGTTTACTCTTGCATGTTTGCTTTTAGAAAGTTGTACTGGTGAAAATAGTCATAGTTGTATGAAAAACATTTGAGAATTTTTTTCAAAGGCATTACAGAAAGGTTACATACTGTGCTCAATGGTGCACCATATATAATAAAAACTTCTAAACACTTAGGATCAAAGGATCCACAACATTATCTGGCTTATATCTTGCATTTAATATTGACATGTGATGGCATGAGTTGTTATAACGAAATAAAATGTTTTTCATAAAAATACAGAAGAATTGAATATTTGAACTTTAAGTCAGCTTTACTTTTAGAAGAATCACATTTATCAATTCAAATTTATGATCATGAATAAAGTAAATAAAACATGAATAAAGAAAAAAAGTGCATTTTTGAAGGCGCATGTGCAAGAGAAACTTGAAGATAATTTTATAAAAAGATAGCATAAGAGCCTAAAACACCATATACGCACAAGATGGAACAATGCACTCTTTATGATAGAATCATTTAACCAGTTATTAAATTCTGAAGAAATTTTTTTTAAAAAATGTGTTAGGGAAAACCTTTGTTTAGATGATGATGAAAAAGCCTTGATTTCTGAATTAGTTAAATTTTTTAGACTATTTGATTAGTTAATCCTTGTGGTTAGTGCTGGTAACTCTTTTTTAATTTTGCCATTGGTTAAACACAAAATTTTGCCATTGGTTTAACACAAAATTTTGCTATTGGTTAAACACAAAATACTAAAGCTTCTTGGAATAAATCTTTGTGAATGAAATCAAAAAACTAAAGGATTGTAGCTCCGAAAAAATTGAGCAAAGACTCAAGCTATCAACTTCTAAAAAAATATGTTGTTTTAGATCAAGTCACAAAAAGTTTGCTTACAAGAAATGAAATAAAGGAATGCTTGTTGAAGAATGCTTTATACATAAAATTGGTCTAATTGGATTCAATTCAAGGTATTTTATTTCTAAACAATTATTCGTAAAGATAATTGTATAATTAATAACAGTAGCGGCCTCTGCATTTTTTGGTCTTTGAGATAGCTAACTTTCAGACATGGAGCAAGTTCCAAACATTTATAAGTTTATACTTATGTAAAATAAGGATGCTTTTCAAAAAATTACGATGAGCACAAAATAACCCCAAATTACGATTGAGAACAAAATAACCCCAAAAATTTGGCCGACACTGCCCCAAACGTGAGAGCTACAAGTTTAAACCCCCTCAATTTTTGGGGGGTTACAAATTTTATATGGTCATAATTTCATTCCAACATCTAGTGTATCAGTGGAGTCAATGTTTTCAACAACTGTATTACTTCTGAACTCAAAAAAAAGTAATTTAGGTTCTTCCAACATGAAGATCTTTGTTCATGACAATATTAATATCATTTGATTTCTATTTATTAAAAGAAAGATATTTTTGTCTTAATTTAGAATTAATTTTTTTTTGCTTTTGTCAAAAACATCTCATTCCTTAGTTCGAGCAACTTAATCAGCCAGAAGCTAGAAGCTGATGGTCAGCTAGTATTATCTAGTTGACAAAGTCACTCAACTTTTAGCTAAATAAATATTAAAGCCATTGTTTTTCTTATAATAAATAAGAAGACGGAACATTACATGATACCAGAAAAGGACTGAAAAATTTTACAAAAAGATTTTGGAAAGTGTTTATTTATAAAAAGAAAAAAAATGGATTGCTTATTACCAAAGGGAACAACTGAATAAGTGCGAATTTCATGAGTGCGAACTTGCATAAGTGCGAATCGCGTAAGTGCAAACTGGCGTAAGTGCAAATTTGCATTAGTGCAAACTGGCATAAGTGCGAAGCAGTTGTAAAAACTGGCACAAGTAGGAACTGGCATAAGTGCAAGTTTGCATAAGTGCGCCGAATAAACTTGTAAAAACTGGCATAGGTGCAAATTGGCATAAGTACGAATTGGCGTAAGTGCGCCCGACAAACTTCCAAACATTGACATTAGTGCGAGTTGGCATACATACAAGTTGGCATAAGTGCGAAATGTCAATTTACAATTAGGTTAATATATACAATTTTATTTGGCGCACTTATGCAAGTTCGCACTTATGTCAGTTCGCACTTATGCCAGTTTTTACAACGCTTCGCACTTATGCCAGTTCGCACTTATGAAATTCGCGCTTATTCAGCCTCCCGTACCAAAGCCAAACGAAATGGATTTCAACGAATCCAATATTGCTGTGGAAAAAATGAAAACAAACTATGCATATTGTATTTAAAAGCAGCAATGTCAAATAAATCTGACAAAGAAAATTCTCAACATTCTTATTTATTATCAGTAAAGAAGGAAAAGAAAATATTCAACACAAGGACTTGGTATAAAATAGAAAATGACGATGGTGAAATTGATGACATCATGGTAAAAGAACTGTACTAGGTTGGTTGAAAAGTTCGCGGAGCGGCACCTATGTTGCAGTAGTAGAAACAAATTTATAACTGTATTAAACGTATTCATTCTTCGTATGAACGCATAAAAAATTTCAAGTCGATATGTCATTTCAGTCTTTGTTTACAAGCTATTGAAATTAGACGTGTCATAGTATTTTTTAAAATGGAAAATATTGAACATCGTGCTGTAATAAAATTCTTTGTGAAAAAAGGTTTAAAGCCCATGGAAATTCATAATGAAATGGTAAATGTGTTGGGTGATGATGCTCCTTCAAAAACAACAGTATGCAAATGGGCTGCGGAGTTTCAACGTGGGCGTTCAAGCCTTGAAGATGACCCTCGCTCTGGACGTCCAAAAAGTGCTACTACTGAAGAAACGATTAATGCTGTGCATGACATGGTTATGGATGATAGACGATTGACCAAACGTGAAATTGCTGAGGCTGTGGGCATCTCAGATGAACGGGTATTACACATCTTGCACGATGAATTACGTCTGAGAAAGCTGTTGGCAAGATGGGTGCCGCATTCGCTAACTCTGGATCAGAAACGCACTCGAGTAAAACTTTCTCAAGAACATTTGGCCCGTTTTCAAAAGAATAAAACAGATTTTGTGCGTCGATTCGTAACCATGGATGAGACTTGGGTTTACCACTATGATCCGAAGCTGCGACAACAAACTGCAGAGTGGACAGAACCCGGTTGTTCAGCTCCGAAGCAAGTGAAGGCGTCAAAATCGTCAAAGAAGGTTATGGCATCAGTTTTTTGGGATGCGAAAGGAATTTTATTAATAGATTACCTTCAAACCGGTAAAACGATAACAGGTGAATATTATAAAAATCTTTTGGACCAGTTGGATAAAAAAATTCGTGAGAAAAGACCTGGTTTGCTGCATAAAAAAATCATTTATCACCAGGACAACGCACCTGCTCATATCAGCGATGTTGCAAAGGCGAAATCGGTCGAATTAAAGTACGAACGCTTGGAACATCCACCCTATTCACCAGATCTGGC